CCCCCCTTACCTGTCTTTTCAACAGGGCAAGAAATAATGGGTAGAACTAGCAATATTGACATTTAATGCTTTATTCTTTTGGTTTGCAGAACACTTTTCGCCATAAATAAAATTATGCAAAGTGGATTATTTCATCCCCTGTGACTATACATATCTCATCATAGCAAAACCTTATCCTACTGTAATGATACAGAGTTGCAGAGTACAGTATTCCTTAGGCACTTGTGACTTTTTTATAACCTATCTGTATGTGACAGACAACACAAAGTTGTAGTACTATCATAATCCAGTTGTTATATTTTTGGGAGAAGGACTTAGTATCTTTTTGCTCCTTAGCTATATTGTGTGACTTTAAATAGTACCTACAGTGTATTGCCCATAACGTATCGGTGTCTTTCGGTTACATTTACTCTAAATGTACACTTGGCCACATATGCTCAGACCAAACTAAAGAACACATCTCTAATCTCTATCGCACAAATTAATCACTTGTATCTAAAATTCTACATACAGTATTTTTGTTTTCTAAACTTTCAATATATATTCAATGTTGTAAGCTACTAAACCAGTTTTTCCCAATTGGGTTTCATAATAAGTAAATTCAACAAGTATTGATTTGTTTCAATACACCTTATCAGTTATTCTAGCTACCCTGTAGTTATAAAAAATAATGAATGCACTAATGACTTCTAACCTCACAAGTTTTGACAGATGGTGAGTTATATTTCGTTTCAGTACTCTCAGTATCCATTTCACATTAAATGTTACATAATTATCTGAATCATATTCGCAAATTCTTCTTGTTGCACAGTGAACACATGTTTCTTCACACTGATCAGGGCTTATGATGACCTTCCATATTAACATTGTTCAACCCAATATCTTTCTTTTCAGTACAGTACTATCAGTAACCATCTTAAATTAAATGTTACATATCTGAATCATATTAGCAAATGCTTCTTGTTGCACAGTGAACACACGTTTCTTCAAATTGATCAGGGCTTACGATGACCTTCCATATTAAAATTGTTCAACACAAATCATTACAGAATTTCACTGAGGGTTCAGTGATGACAAGCGTGTGTGGTGTACCAAGACCATACCTTCTTGTTGGTATGTGTAGCAAAATCATAAGGAAATCACAATGAAATTCAGAATGGGCATCATTTTGGAGTCAACATCCAATAATCCTCTTGTCACATGAACTCTTGAGGCTTAGAAGCTGTTCAACTGCCGTCTTATCTTGTATCAACTGTTGACCATCTCAAGAGCATATTCCTAACAAAAGGGAAGCAGAACGTTTTCTAGAACATACCAAACAGGATGAAGATAGAAAAATCTTGACTCATAACTATGATGGAGTGGATTCTACAGCAAGCTTATTAAAATTTGATCATTCATTTAACCAATTAGTGCAATCATACTTAACAAGCCTCAACACACTTTGTACTCAAATAATATGTACTATACTGTATTAACAGTTCAAACTACTTTATGTACAGTACTTTATATCTTTATATACAATCCCTGATATCAAGATTAGTTGTACTTTCCTACTTGAACTTCATGGAATCCTGAGGAATGTGCAAAAAATGCAAAAGCTTATAATGGAAGTTGAAGACATGTAATGGGCGAATTTTTACAAAATCCAATTATTAATGCAACTAAGTATTATTTTAAAAGTTTAAGGTAAATAACAGAAAAATACAAAGATCATAAAATGAAGCCATTGGCACGCATAGTTTTATCAAGTTAAAATAAACCATGTTATCATTGGAGGTGATGTATTTAAATTTCTAGTCGAACAGGAGGCCATAACTGATATATTGTACATACCGTATATTGAATCCTCGAAGATTCAGACCCGGTAAATCCGTTTGAAAGATTCGGACAAAATTTGAGGGCTCCAGGAGCTAAGAAGCATTCTCAAAACAGAGCAAAGATCATCTTAGGCCGTGTAAGATGTCAGCACGTGGGGCACAGGTGCCAAGGCAGGAAACATAAACAGAGTTGTCAATTGTTGTTTGTGGGAATATTATTTCTTTCACTCTAGTAATGATACAATGTTTAATATTATGTTATCGTAGGTAAATGCATGGTTTATATAATTTGTTTATCACTGTGCCCATCACCATTTTCAAATTAGACTACAATGTATGTATATCGATTGTACGCCTGCCAACGAGAGCAAGTAAGTGACTGCTAGTTTAGAGAGGAGTCTGTTGTTGTAACTCTCCTCACTCCCTGCCATATGTCACTGGATTCACTTTTATTATTAGTGTCTACTGATATAATAGTGTTAAATAGTGATTAATCATGGCTTTGTAGCTAGGTTAGACTCGTTACTCAAACCACTAGGCAACTGGGCCAAGCTGTGAGGCGTTATGGTTGTTTTGTAACTTGTATCTTCGGGTAGATATACATAACTTTCTTCATTTATTTTTACTCAGTTACATGCACACACCATCCTCCATACATAATGTGAAAAAAGTAATGAAATAATTGTCCTAAGGGCAAACACGTACATGGAATATACATTTCTTTGCACACTAGTTAGCTGGCTCAGTGAGAGAGCAGGAGAGCACAGTGTAGGGGGTGGGGAGCGTTGCCAGAGAATCGGCGTCCCAGCTGGTCTCCGTTGCTATGATGAAGAAGGGAGTGTTTGCAAATGGTGACAGCGTTAAACTTCAATTTGGCTTTTATTTACTGATTTGGCATTACAATATTTTTTTATATTTATTTATTGGTATTAATTTTATTTATTCCTCACATTTCCTGGTACTGTATATGTTATTTTAAGAAAACTATGACAGGAGGAAAATACACCCAAATAGTTTTTTCCTAAATACTCCCTACTAAAATGGGGGGTGCGTCTAATATGCCGTAAAATAAGGTATTGTATTTTTGGGCGTTTTCTTATCTTTATTTATCATACATAGTACATTCGCGGGAAGATTTTTGGAAATTAGCAACCAGGCACAGGCCACTGACAATCGGTTTTTCGGACAGGTGGTCTCCCCTTTTAGTCCGGATCTTCGAGGGTTCACTGTACAGTACTATGTCCTGAGTTACAATCGCTCAACTTAGGCAGGATCCCGATATATTCATTACCAAAAAATTGTAGCTAAAATCCCAGTTTTTACATTACTGTACAGTACTCTCATTATTCTATATTGTTTAACATCACTTCATTTAAATTTACATTATTTGTTATGTATGGGATATTATTATTATTTTGTATGGGCAGGGTTGTAACCACATCATTATATATATATATATATATATATATATATATATATATATATATATATATATATATATATATATATATATATATATATATATATATATATATATATATATATATATATATTATATATATATATATATATATATATATATATATATATATATATATATATATATATATATATATATATATATATATATATATATATAAATACAGAAAAGCTTCTAATTCCTTTTAATCACTATAGTAAAACTAAAGACTAGATAATGATATGCTGCTTCTGGACCTTTATACATAATATAATGCCCAGCATAATAAATCACAATTATCTATTATTAAGTCTCATGATCATTATTGACAACATAAATTTTTAAATCAATGCAACAGTTATTCAAAATTTGTCAGAATATTGCAAAATTTATGCAATAACTTCCCTACTGTTGTTGAGGTACCTCTTGCTGTCTAATTAACTACTGTAACACCCATTACAGGTCATATGGTAATTAGCGTTCAATACAGGCAAAAGTTAATAATCAATAACATATGTTACACGAAAACAAGATATCAAATTAATCACCATTACAAAACTTATGATGTGAATGAATTAAGAATGTAAATCAAACCATTAAGTGCAAAATGCAAGATGCAAATTACACAGTGATTTTGTCAGAGAAAATGAAAACATGATCCATTCAGCTCAAATGAAAGAATAACTACACTAAAACCTTCATTATTCCTCTCACACAACACACACACACACAAAATCTCTTTGTTGCTTTCAGTTTTAAATTTTGCTAACAATTAAGCAAACTTGAGTAGAATGATGATGATGATGATGACTGAACACTTGAGTAGATTTGCTTGCTTGGTTAGGACAATTTCCAACAAAACATATCACATGTTCCACAGTTTTGGCACATCTATGATGGTAAAGTCATCCACGAGCTTTGTAATACAGTACATTATATTGGTAACAATGCACGTTGTATCAAGTTGATCAGTTGAATTTTTCTCAATCCATGATGTATCTCACACGACAGTACTGTAGCAGAAAAACAGAGGTTGCACCAAGGAAGACCATAGGAAAAACACTCAAGAGTTCTTGCTAGTCTTTTCAAATCTACTTGGAGGAAATTTCTATGAATGACAGAACTGGCATTCTGGAGTCTGAGGATAGAGTTGTTCTTGACAATTCCAACACATATTTTGTAGGAAGAGGATTAAAAGGCAAGACTTCTTTGTAGTGTTTGTGCGCTTTCAATTAATTTCTGAGCAAACTGATTAGATTTAGTTCATTATTGTAACAAGGCAGATACTTCCATCTACAGTTCAATGACTGTCTTTTGCATTTCTTCACAGTTGAAACAAACGTCTGTGTTAAAATATTACGAGATGACATAAGTTGATATGAGCAAGCATCCATTTGTCTGGTATGGCAGTGGAATGAATCATAGTGCAGCGATCGACATCACATATTGTACGGGCAGGTCGGGATGGTAGTGGAAACGACCGCAGTACTTTCATCAAGGTGGAGGGGGAACGGGTAGCAGACCTGAGACCTGACAAGGACGGTGGCAGTGGCAGCAGTAGGGACAATGGCAGTAGGAGCAGGAGTGGCAGTAGCAGCGGCAGCAGCAGCAGCAGCTTGGTGGGGCCACCAGCAGGAACAGCACATCTCGATGAAACAGACTTTCCCCCTTAACACTAACACTGTAAATACTATTCGGTCACGCACAACCCTCATACTGACCTTGGAGCTATGTTCAGTCTTGCGTCGCTTTGACCCTGTAAAAAAGAAGGAAAATAAACCTATAGGTTGTCAAATTTAAGGTAAGTTATCTTTAAGTACCTTAATTCTCCTTGTTTCATTTAGTACAGTAAACCCTCGACAACTCGGCACATATAAAGGCTCTCGCCTTGCCGAGTTATTCCAAATTCCGACTTATCATGGCACTTCCCCCCCTCCTACAAAAATACAATAAAAAATTATCGACCCATATGTGTACATGTAATTACTATATGTAATAAAGTAACACTTTTTACCATCACTGCAAGCAAAGAATGAACCATCATAGTAGGTGACACAGATGCATGGTAGGTGACACAGAGGCATGATAGGTGACACAGAGGCATGGTAGGTGATGCAGGTGGCCAGATATGCCGAGATTTTCCCAGATAATTTTATAGACTGTATCTCGGCATTTCCCAAGTTATACTAATTACCGCCTGGGAAGATATTGGAAGCATAATGCGTTGTCTAATGGTAGGCCCTACTGCTATATGGCATCACGAAAATTGTGACCAAGTCCCAGGTTGCTGATCTGACTTTCTGCCTCATTTACACACAATTGCAGGGTCTAAATTTTTTCTCTTGCTTTAACAACACTACATACATACTGTATATCATTTCTCACTCTTAATTTTATTTTAATTTTTTTATTATATATTTATGGCTCTTTATTAATATTATTATTGTTATTATTTATAATTTGTATAAATTTTTATTTTTTGTTATTTATTTTTTCATATTTTTATTAATTTTATTACTATTATTATTATCATCGTCATCATAATTATTATTATTATTATTTTATTATATTTTTTGCCCCCAGGCCTTGATGTTGGTCATTAAAAATGACCTGTGCCCGAATGGGTTAATGCTCGAGAAATAAAAAAAAAAAAAAAAAAAATCTGAAACCATATCCATGCGGAGTTATATGAAATTCCAAGTTATCAAGGGTTTACTGTATTTATTTTGAATTTATCACTTCTTTTGTCTCTATTGCTTGTTATCATGGAAAAAAAAAGCACATTTCTCAAAAAATATATTAACACATCTTTCTCAAAAAAAAAATATTAATAACATACCTCTTGGAGAAGCCTCAGGTGGTTCCATCTTGGTTGAAGTTGATGACGTATTGGATGTAACGCTGCTCTCCGCTCCGTTCTATAACTCCAGAAGATCGCTCATCTCGCTCTGTTTCCCCATACTCCTCATCCTCATACTGTAAAAATATAATATTATTATCAAGAGATTCTAAATTTTAATAAATAATAACAAATGGACATCCTTAAGCTAAATTACCCGAGGATACACATCTGATTGGCCAATTAAGATTTCTGCCACTGATGCACCTTATATATTGATTGCAGAATTCTCAATTGCTAATCCCATCTTGTTCACAAGAATATGACAACTGGGAAAATGCATAACTGGATATTTAATTCTTTCATCAGTTGGATTTTTTTTTAAGTACTGTACTGCTTAATCCACTGCATGAGTTTATAATTGGATAAATTTCTTTTCCATGGACCTATGGAATTATAGGACATATCGAGATAACTATGACTCCTTAGAAATATAATGGCTATTACTGAACATATCTTACTTTTCAATTCTAGACAAAGACATATTTAACATATCTTAATCACTGACTCCAGACAGTTAGACAGATGATGTACCTTTGATCTTTTAGACTCCTTAGACCTCTTCCTTGACTTCTCCTCACGTTCCTCCTTCTTGTCTCTGTCTTTTTCTTTCTTTTCCTTTTCTTCCTTCTTAATTTCCACATCATCAGTCAATTTCTTTTCACTAATTTCCTTTTTATCTTTGGAGGATTTACTGTAAAATAAATAATTTAGGGTTATGAATTAAAATAAAAAGTTATTGTATGTTAGAAGACCCTGACAGCCTATACAGTACTGTTTGATAGTGTTTCAATCTTTCAATTATATGAGAATGTGTAAGCTAATTCAATGTTTTTGTTACTTCACTGTGTCTAAATGATCACAAAATGTTTACCTTACAGTAGGCTCTCATATTTGGACACCTATTTAGACTGTAAAAACCTCGCGAAATTCAATCGTCCAAATTGAAATACAACTTCCTATGGAGAAAATTAATTTGAGTCTGGTACTTTTGATGTTTGGTTAAATTTTGCCTTATTTACCCTACTTTTTTGGTGAATTACTACCTGTAATAAAGCAACATCCAAATAAACCAACAAAAAGAATACAGATAAAGTTAAATAAAAAACTAAAAACAACACAGAAAAAGTTTTTATGGCCTACAGCTTCAGCTACAGTTGAACCTGATGACTTGGCAACTTCGTCATCTGAGTAAAAACACACACAACAACATTAACTGTCCTTATGTTTCAGCTTTACCACCACTGGTGGGTAGAAATTTTGTTTTAAATTCAGAAACATTATTTAAAATATATATGAACAGTAAATAAGTGTTGCTTTCATATTCTTATGTAGAGTAATGACGATATGTTTTCACATGTGCGCACTTACAAATGTTCTCACTTTTTTTCTTTACCATTAATGGTTAGCTACTTTTATTGTTCCATTTATTAACATTAAATAATGTTACTTAAAACAACCATATTAATTTTTTGACATTAATTTTACTACAGCTACAACCAAGGTCTTATTTTCTTCAGTTATATATGTAGAACCAGTCAGTCACTGGTTTTGTAAACATTAATGAAAACAATGCTGTCTCGTCTCCTCGTGTGTTTTAATATTCGACGTATTATTAATGAATTGTACTGTTCAATTTGCACACATAAACATTAATTCAATCAAAAAGACATTCAGTAATAAACAATAATGAATCTTTTGTACATAAGAGAAATGATGTTGTTTACACGATTGTGCACGTCTGAATGTTGGCGGGCCGCTCAAACCCGTCAAAATTTGAGTTTCTACCGTTGAAATTTGAAATTGTGTACAAGTTCTTTTTGTGTCCAAATAAAAAGAGGTGAATTAAAAACTCGCAAAATTTGAGAACCTACTGTAATTCAGTATCAATATTATATCATTGTCAGTGTCCAAATTATATGAAATGTGTTTGTATTGTACATTATTTTTTTAGAGCCTATATTACTCCAAATGTTTTTGTATTACTTTTTCAAAGTGTTTATATTGATTTAGTGTTAGTGTTTTATATTACAGTATTTCAATGTCATATTATTTTAATGTCATATCATTTCAGCAAATAAGTTAATTAAAAAAAATTAAATCTAGACTATAATTACTGTAGTTGGGAGGATACTTTACGTCTATTGTGTCATCAACCTACCTGGATACGTCTGCCTTCTTAACCTCCTTGTCCTCTTTATCATCCTTAGCATCTACATCACCATTGGTGGAATCAGCCACAACCATCTGTGAACACAAGCAACAATATCTCTGACTATCTACTTGGATGAGATTTAGATTAAGCATTGAACTGAATATTCTGGGAGGGTACGATACAGGGAGGATTAAATCTGATATCCAATTTTACAGTTGAGCAGCTAGATAATACACACACTAAGCCTGGAAGGTTGTACACCCAAGTGATCCTAAGCATTAGTGGATGGATATTGAGCCTATGAACAATTTTATCCTTGGCACTAATCATTAGACTAGTTCTACCTACCCATCACAACAATGAATAGGGAGAACTAGAGGCAAAGGTCACCAACACAGGTAAGAGGCTGTGGAGCCGAGACATCAAAATGATCGGCACAATTTTGAACACAGTGGTCCCTCGGTTAACGAGCACAATCCGTTCTAGAAGGTTGCTCGTTAACTTGAAACCATTGTTTCAATGGGTTTTTGGTATTGGTTCCAGCTCACCGAAAATTGCCTAAATTCAACAAAAAAGGTAGAAAAGTTCACTTACTTTGAGATGTGTATGTAGAAGGCTCCTGGATGATGATGATGATGATGGGAATTAGAATGGGGGTGGAGGAGAAGGGAGAAAGAAGGCATTGGGGTGGAAGAGAAGTCACCCCATGGTGCCATTCACCCATAAAATTTTCGTTCTCTTGGTGTAATTCAAGATTATTTTCTTTTAAATCAACACTGCACTGCATTATATATTGTCAATATGTAAAATAAATTTCAAAATGACCAAAAATTTGGCAAACACAGAAAAAAAGCGTTTAGTTGAAGTCTCAAGCAAGATGTTACCTCCACTGAAAAGACACAAAGACTGGCCTGTATGGTGTGTTGGCAGGCTGGATGGTCGCCTACAAACTAGTGACCCTACCTTCAATTTTGTTCAATAATTGTTAAAATGACTAAAATTGAATATTAAACTTTTAAAATTATTGAATAGTATAAACTTCTGATATTTACTAAAAGAAACGGAATATAAGCCCTAGAACCGATTACTGTGGCCGGACTAATGCTACAGCTGGTGGACTGCCAAATGCAAGCAAAAACATGTGGAGGTCGGCTCGTAAGAAACTCGTTAATCGAGGGATTGCTCGTTAACCGAAGTTAAGAATCTTATGGAAGGTAACTCGTTAACCGAAATCTCGTTAACCGAGGACTCGTTAACCGAGGGACCACTGTATACATTCTGGCCTTCACATAGAGGCACACTATGTCTTTTACATAAAAAGAATTGGAAATTGATTTTATATTGTTATTTCTTGGGATCCAGCACAACATTACACTGCTGTGTGGCCTAGGGTAATACTATATACCGGCACATAAGTCTTCTTTTGATGTACCTTCCCTTATGTAGTTAGACTAGCTCCCCTTGTAGGGTGCATGTCACATTAGCATTTGGGGAAGTAGTCAAGCATCACCACCTGCTTTTCAAACAAGCCTTTGAAGGTTGAGCAGCCTAGCTGAGGGGATCAGGCTGTAAAGGGAAGATTGATCCTGAAATCCTATATTATAGTAATCCCACTGCTAGGTGATTTCTTTACCCAGGGCTGCCCAATCATACTTACCCGCTTGCCTGTGGCAAGTGATAATTTTGATTCATGCGAAAGTGAAGGAGACTTTGTAAATAGACCCAATGATTTTGTAAGGTTTCATACTGAACAAAATTTGTATTGAACAGTTCTCTAATTTACCCCCAGTTTCTCTATACTGATAGATAAAATAAAACTAGAGAGAATCTGCATGAGAATAGGTGCATGTTGTTAACAACTCATCAGCTTACTCACCACCAACATGGTGAGTGGACACAGCAATCAATATTTTACACTAGCAATAGATTAACAAAAAACAATAAAAAAAAAACCTGCTTTATAGGTGATGACGGGAGCATGTGTATATGTTTGACTCATCAGCTGACAGCCCAGGCTTTAACAGTCCAACACGCATTCAGCCACAGAAAAATGGTAAAATTTTTGTAAAAAAAATTAAATCAATGGTATGATAATTCTCCCGTGAAAAGAGCAGAGGATGAGCACGTATTCCATCATCCATGTCATAGTCACACACCTAATTGCTGCACTCCATCCCCATCACAAGCATGGGCCTGTCAGTCATGGACTGTCTAATATGATCCAATAAGGCTTACAATGTATCCATTTTGTGCAGCAACATTTGTTTCCACCACTATGAGTTCTTACAAGACATTCCCACACATAAAAAAAAAAAGTATGGGATAGTGGATTTAAAAATTTGCTAGCCCGGTGGGCTAGAGGAATTATTTTTAAATTCAGCAGGTCTCTATACCCCCCTCCTTCCTATGGGTTAGTGAGTAGACCAAAAAATGAGGACTGAGACTGGATTCATATATGACTGATCCATGCTCATAAATATTAGCATGACATCATGGCTTGACAGCCTCCTACCATCCACGGTTACTGTCCTGTTTGCCTTTTTTAAGGGCAAAGGATGTGATGGGGAAGTAAATCTAATCTTCCAGAGTTGTACCAAGTGTAGAATTAATCACTGAACTAGTACCCTGCCACTTACGGTTAGGGTCTCCTGAATATGCAACCTGCCAAGATTAGTGTGTATTACTCAAGCTGCCTAGAGGAGGACATAAGGCTGTACATGAGGTCATAAGGTATTAAGACAAAACTACTATGAGAAGAACAAGCAGGCATGCAGATATGGGTGAGATAATCTGTGATTTCAATGTTTAGAAGAAAAGTGTGATGAGATAAGAATTGATATTATATATATATATATATATATATATATATATATATATATATATATATATATATATATATATATATACAGACAGACCCGACTTGACTGCTTGACTTACGACCGTCGGGACACAGCCGCCTCAGTTTTTATTAAAAAAAATTTAATGACATTTCTATACTGTTTCCAGTTAATGTAGTCTCCATGTATAATTAGAAAATTAGGCCCTATGTGCATTCAGCTGACTACATTAAAGGTAAGTGCTCAGTCACACTGTAACCATTCCTTATTATTTATACTGTACTGTATCCATTCCTCATTATTCATTACTTTTACTGTACTGTACTTTGTTGAGTTATTTATTTAAAAAAAAAATATCTCTGTGGGACTTGACCTGGATTTGGTCCCTAACCCGTCGTAAGTTGGGGGTCTAGGTATTATATATATATATATATATATATATATATATATATATATATATATATATATATATATATATATATATATATATATATATATATATATATATATATATATATATATATATATATATATAACAAATAACATATACAGTACTGTATATCAGTACAGTATAAGACATAACATGCATAGACAATGAGACACACTTTTATATATTTCAAACAAGACCTAAGACATACAGCAGGGTTCTCATTATTTATGTAATCACTATACGTGTACTCAGTGATGCAGATAGTATTTTTTACCACCACATATCCATTATTTGTGCTATACTTGATTATACATATACAAATTGGGGGTCTAAGGGATGTTCGTTAATGCCGGCAGTCTGTTAAATTCAGAATTTTACTATGCTGCTTGCATAAGATACGTTTACTTTGTTTACATATGATTTTATATAATGACAATATCTGATAACTTATATACTGAGCACTATTAAAGAGTAAAGTAATCCATGATTATTCACATATTTCATATTCTAACTTTTAGCAAATTGCAGGAAACAATACAATATCAAATACAGTACTGTATTAAAAATGTACAATAATCTGAAATACAGTGACCCCTCGGTTAACGAACTCAATCCGTTCCAGAAGGTCGTTCGTTAACCGAAAAGTTCGTTAACCGAAACCGGTAACAATGGGTTTTTGGGTAATTGGTTCCAGCTCACCGAAAATTTCCTAAATTCAACAAAAATGGTAGAAAAGTTCACTTACTTTGAGGTGTGTTTGTAGAAGGCTCCTGGATGATGATGATGATGATGATGATGATGATGATGATGATGATGGGATTTAGAATGGGGGTGGAGGAGAAGGAAGAAGAGAAGGCATTGGGGTGGAAGAGAAGTCACCCCTTGGCGCCATTTCACCCATAAAATTTTAGCTCTCTTGGTGTAATTCAAGATTATTTTCTTTAAATCAACACTGCACTGCATTATATATTGTCAATATGTAAAATATATTTCAAAATTACCAATAATTTGCTTGGAAACACAGAAAAAAAGTGTTTAGTTGAAGAGAGTCTCAAGCAAGATGTTACCTCCAGTGAAAACAGAGAGAGACTAACGCCTGTTTGTTGTGTTAAGAGGCTGGATGCCGCGCATTAAACTAGTCACTTTACCTTCAATTATGTTCAATAATCGTTAAAATGACTAAAAAATTGAATATTAAACTTTTAAAATTATTGAATAGTATAAACTTCTTGATATTTACTAAAATAGTAAGGAATTTAAGCCCTAGAACCGATTAATGTATTGGCGGACTGATACTAAAGCTGGTTGCCCGGTCAGTGCAAGCGAAAACATGTTGAGGTCGGTTCGTAAGAAATTCGTTAACCGAATTTTTGTTCGTTAACCGAATTGAAGATCCTTATGGAAGGCAGTTCGTTAACCGAAATTTCGTTAACCGAGGCGTTCGTTAAACGAGGGGTCACTGTATCTGCTAACACATGATGTACCCACTCATACTGCCATCTATTGATGGCGGGGGAAACCATGTTTTCATCAGCTGAAGAGCTGTCTCCGTTTGATATTTACTGTAATTAATAAACCATTAAAAAATTATTTCTGAAAAATATAGTACAAATTTATTTTAATGCTTCTTTAAGAACTGATAAATAGAATTATTGCGAATTTTTTAAGTCGATGGCGATATTTTCATCATCGTTACGCAAACAGGAGTTTCTTGGGGTGACAAAAGTGTTAAGAACAGAACAAATACAAATAATGAGGACCCACTGTATAGCTTTATTGTTTACATCTAGTGACTCACACTCAATACTAAACTAATTTCTAACCCATAAAGTGTACTCCATACACATTTGTCTAATTTATAAACTTTCCATCATTTGGAACTTCTGAAGATTGTTTGTACAGTTGGAAATAAATTATTAAGATTAATTACCCATAATTCATATAAACATTAAACAAATGCTTAAATACACTTGGTATTGTAGAAATTAAAAAAAGGGGACCTGGGAGGGTTTTATCATATTCATTATCTAAGTTAAGCTTGATTATTTGAAGTTATTCAATGTATAAACAGGGATCACTACTTCAGGGTGGCTAAATTGAGGGGTGAAACTTTAACTGACATTCAGGGGCTAAAATTGTGAATGGTCTTGTTCATGGCCTCGACTAACTCACTGTTCCTGATATACAGCATTGTATATCAAAAGAGAAGTACAGCAAGATCTTGTATTTTGCGAGTAATATAGACAGGAAAAATTGCACCAAATTCAAATACATAAACTAAAGGGAAAAATAACAATATAGACTGGCCACTCTACACCAACCTCTGATTTTCCCATTTCTAACCTCAAAATTATACAAATTCTGCCTTTATCGACCTAACTGTGCTTTCCGGAAACTAGATTTTAGGCCTTCCTGAAGTAACTTAATCACACGCTGCTTATCCTGCATCGAGTACTTGGCAAACTTAACTCCTTTATGATAGTCCGCTTCTTCCTTTCCTTATTTGGCCGCTTAGGTTGGTCTGTCCCACCCCCACCAGCACTAGTAAGACCCCCAGTAGAGGTAGACGCCATTATTTTGACTCGACAGGTGGTAGCACCACTCAAAAAACACACAATAACAGCCCGGGCGGTAGCTAGGAAGGCGCAGGCTACAACGCGATAGTTGCGTTCTTGTAAGCCTCTTTTACGTTCACCACTGGCAATTCGATCACCAGAACGCTTCTCGGAAACATTCTTCTTACCCAGTTTTTCCATATTCATCGCAAACACAACAAAATTGGAGAAAACAGCAAAAATCGCGGAGCAATCGACAGAAACCGCACGATTCAACTGATCACGTGATGTAAACCGTTATTAGTCCTCACTGCGAAACAATCGTTTTACTTATTCTTTTCACACAGTATTTATGGGTAACAGCTAAATTTGCAAAAAATGAAAAAAATTTACAGAGTACCTCTCAAAAAACACTTCGCATACAAGACACGAATCAATTGAACATGTGATGTAAACATTGCATAACCCCGCGCCACGCTTAAAACATTGAGGATGTAATCGCGCTATAGCCAACATTCGTTTGCAAAAGTTCGCGTTTTACAAACAGCGTTCCTCTATTCATCAATCATGTTTCAACCAATTCGCGTTGACAAAACACGCGCTGTAGCAGAAATGACTAACTGGTATGAGAGCTGTGAGGTCATTCAAGACGGTGCCAGCATTCAGCTTGCTGGATCTAGCGAAATTCATGATATTTTATGCCAAATATAAGACTTGGTTACATTAGGTAGTGCTCGCAAAATTCAAAAATGCGAGATGAAATCACGCGAAATATGAGATCTTACTGTACAACACTGCAAGTTCACAAAAAATGTATTTACAGGTATTGTACATACCCGGGTACTTGATTTATTCATACACATAAAAATATTTTTACAAAAATCACCAACAGATCTGCAAACATATTAAATGCATGAAACTTCTCAGATTTTACAAACTTTGAAAAAGGGTGGATAAAGATTTTACAAAGGCAATAAAAGTTTATGGCTAGTGAGATGAAAATCAATTATGGCCAAGCTCCACACTTAAAGTGATCCCTGATAAAGATTGAAATAACATTTTATTCTACTTATGGTCAAGGGTAGTTTGGACAGCATTTACAAAATTTACCATACCTCCACATCACCAACCTTTGCCACCTTACTCTCTGCTGTCTCCCCAGTGGACTTAGACTCATTTCCTGAAGTTGCATGAGAGTTTTCTTGTGTTCCGTTGACAGCTTTAGCTGCTTGGGGACGTTTCGGAACTATATGGAACTCTGTCTCTGGCATGAGATTTGGTTTGATGGCTTTTAGTCTACCTGAGTAGCTATTTGCCAGAACATACAGATCATTTCGGCGATTACGCTCTTCCACTTTCACCTAAAAAAAAGTCTGTATTAGAAATCTAAAACACAAGACATGTTCAGTCCTATCATCTACAACCCACCAAAACAATGTGTAAATTAGGATTTTTCCGTGAATATGATTTGCCACTTTAGAATTACAAAATTAACAGTATCACATTACATAGAGCAAGAAGAGAGTAGCTCTACCAAGTCACAATAATATACAGTACTAGATTTACCTATAGACCATAAAAAATATTTTCCAAGAGGTCTTTCCTTAAGCATTCACACTAGATTGTCATAAAACCTTTTACAACATATAATTATGAATGCTTTCTTTACCTTTACTGGCGACATAACATTAGCTTGAGGAAATTGCAATCTGTATCTCCTCTGGGTACACAAAAAAGAATTTTACCTTCTCTATTCTCTTCTCAATGACAGCAGCGAGGTTGGTGATAGCAGGGAAGCGCTGGATGATTCCTTGGAGAATAAGGATAGCGTTACGAATCTGAATGTAGTCGCCACTCTCCAGACATGTTACCAAGGCCTGGAAAATATGAAAGTGATAACTTGCGACTTCATCTTTTTGTTTTTCCCAACTGCCAAACATTCCTCTCCATTCACTATTTTTGTATTTCATCCTAATAAGTCTATTCCTGCTGTGGTCCAGGGTGGCCATTATCAAAAGCAAAACAGATTCTGTTATTTATTATCACATGTTTCTTCAAGCCACCTTACAAGATGTGTTCTAAACACCGTAGAGGTTTACGTTCCCAAGGCACCAAAATTTCCACCTAGTCTACAATTGTTATCCAATGATATATACTGAAACACCTTTTAGAATGACAGCTTAGATAGTCAAATTTAACCAAAGAATAACACAAAAGTTAACAAATCAAAGAAGATTCATGTCATGGCAGCTTCAAGTAACAACTCACCTTTGTTATCTTGTAGTGCCACTTGTGAACCACATGACGGTAGTTCTCATAGTCGACATAATCATTGGCTTCCTGTCGTGACACACGGTATTTGGTGACAAAACCTGGGTAGTTGGCACACTCTTTCTCATAATTTGTATGAGATGCATGCCAGTGCATGACAGTCTCTAAAGTGCCCAGGAGGAATCTAGCATACCTGTGAGCCTCTTGTTCTGTGCATGAGGCCACTGTGTATGTTATGTCGCAATACATCTGGAACAGACACCATGTGCTATTATATTATTAAGATATGACAAGATACTGAATGTCACTGCATATATTGCAGTTTTCAAGGGTTATTGTATATTTCAAGGCTTTACAACACGAAAAAATTACCCATGCGCATATTTATATAGGTCCGCCAAATACCATTAAAATTGGAAGATCAGTTAAAATGGAAAATCTTTAGTCAACCCCTGCGCCCCAGGCCGGGGTGCCGTTGGCCGTATCCCCCACGTGGGGTAAATCGAGAAAAATCAACTTCTCCAAAAATAATTTTTAACCTTTTTAAATGATAAAACAATAAAAAAGAAGTAAGAAAAACTATATATTTACCCTCTAGAAACTTCCCTGGGGCCGCAGTGGCGAGAAAAATGCAGCGCGGAGCAAGGGAGATAAGGGGACTGTTGTTTTGATGCGAGCGCTCGTGGTCACGTACGCACTTCGTGGCCCTTTTTTGCTTGCCTTTGTGTCCGGGATGGCCAGTAATGCATATATTTACAGATCATAATACTTATTTCCTATAAATAATTCATTTAGAATTTATTTTATTTGCATTATTTTTCATAAAAAGTGCTCGGAGACACACATGCAGTCTGTCGCCAGGCTGCCTGGCTGTTTTTGTGTTTGGGAGAGCAAGTACAGTAATGCATAGAAATAATTAACAAAATAATAATTCCACAAAGAAATACAATTACAGGGCATCCTCGCCTAACGTCAGGGTTACGTTCCTGAAAATGCGACGTTATGCGGATCAATTTTCCCCATAAGAAATAGATAAAATACGGGAGTTACGTTCCCCAGCCCCCCTTTGCCCCATGAAAAACTTACATATACAGTAAATCATTGCCATTTATATAGAAAATAGTTTACAGAACAACAGTACTAAGTTTGTATTGGTACTCACCGATGAGCGTTGGTGGTGGAGCGAGTGGGTAGTGGAGTGAAGGAGGAAGATGGCGGGAGTGGAGAAGAAGGGTGGGAGTGGAGGAGGAGGGTGGGAGTGGAGGAGGGCAAGAGAATTGCAGGGTGGTGAGTCACTGAGTCTGCGGCTCCCTCCTCCTCCTCCTCTGACTGGGGTTCCTCTGCCGCTGCTTGCTCCTCCTCCATTGTTGGCGGGAATGTCTCGGCAGCAACCGTATCTGAACTGGCAGCTTCATCAGTCATATTTATGTTGTGGAAGTTATACCGACGCTTAAATCGTTGAAACCAGCTTGGCTGGCCGTAAAGGTCTCTTCCTTCGATCCTTTACCCTCTGTTTCCTTCATGTTGTCAAACAAGGATGTGGCCTTATGCTGGATAACCATAAGGCTCACAAGGGCATTGCTTTGATTCTGGTCCTCCATCCACATTGCCAGCATCTTTTCCACCTTCTCTATCACAGTGCTTCTAGTACGAGTTGTCTTAGTAGTACTCAGAGAAGAACCACTTCCAGCACTAACCTTAATCTTGTCAGCGTTGGTCCGGATAGTACGCACCGTTGTGGGGGTTAGACGAAGCTCAGTGGCTATGTCCACAGCTCGTTTCCCTTTTTCAAATCGGGTTAATACATCCATTTTCGTAGCAAGGGTAATGGTCTTACGTTGCCTCTTCACTACACTAGCATCAGTAGCACTTGATGGGCGCTTGGAAGCCATTTTGAATGGTTAGAGTACAGTTTTAGAGCAAAAGCACGAATGATGTGAAGTCGTAACAGAGACTGGCTTGGCGTCACTTGGGGACGCTGTGACGTTCCACGAGTGAGGGCAGCGCGCCGAGCTGAGAGAGCAAAGTGCGGTCAGACAAGAGCGGGTGATGCACCGTAGAAAATAGTCCGTGACGACGCAAAACGATGTAGTATCACATCACCGGGACGGAAAACAAAATTTTGGTTTCTAAAGTTCAGCGGCATAGTACAGAAACAAAGTTAAGTGAGGACTTACTGTATAACATATTCATAGCATTATTTTCTAGTAATACTACACTACAACTACACTACTTTTAGCAATAATACTTTGATTCATGATAAAATGGACAAACAATGAAAATGAAATAAACAAAAGTAGGTAATTACATTCCAGAAGCTTCCCTATGGCAGTGTGTGTGGCGCGACAGGCAAATAGTCACGCTGGAACCTGATAACCTGCACTGGACATTCAAACAATGTCGCGAAAAGGCACGCGTTCCAGAACGTCAACCGAGGCACCCCAGATGATCGTTCCGGAACGTCAACAGGGGAGTACAGGTATCTCTCTATCTCTCTTCTCTCTCTCTCACTCTCTCAAAGGGTCAAAATAAAGCAAAAGACACATACCTGTATGTGATGGATGGCAAGATTTTTAAGAGACTAAATGACAAAAAATAATGCTTATCATAAAATAAACTCACCCGGTCGTAACAAATTAGCGTGGAAAAGTTTGGCGTTTTGAGGTTGTGCAACATCTTCACAAATCTGTAGATTAAAATAATATAAGAAACTATCCTAAAAATAAATTTTTTTGAAGAAATATGGAGGATAGGACAGAGTTTGGGGATTCATGTGAATGGGATGTCATTCATATAAGCATGTAGTAACTAATATGTACAGAAAATTTTGATAAGCTGTATAAATCACTAAACCAGCTTCTTTACAGAAAAAAATAACACTAAAGAAGAAAAATTGAGAAAATGACTTACTTAGCACAGTATATAGCATCAAGAGCAGTGAAGGTACACCGTGGGAAGAGACAGAGCTGAAGGAATGCAGTAACTGTGTCATTCTTAGGAGACCGTGCAGCCCGCAGCATAAACCACCGATCTTTCTCCTGTCAAGATGGATGAAAAGAATTACCACACGTGGTCAAAAACGAGTGCAAAGACATTCTCCTTTCCTTGGTATTATTTCTTCATTCTTGCTCCTGTAATTAAAGTGCTATCCTTTCACAGTAAGATATCTACATGGTTAATCTCAGTCACTATCAGCAGCACACCCATCCCCAATACCACATAAAGGTTATAAAACACTACAAAATATTTGCAAACTTCCCAAAGGTTATTAAATACTCTTCCACTCTTTGATCTTCATAAAAAACTAACACTGAAATGGCCTCTTACTTTTAAAATGAAAAACTTTTATATTACTGAATACTATTCTGGTTTCATTCCCCTCAGTGACTTTTCATTCCACCTTACTCATCTCTTCACCTACCCAAAAAAATTTAGGCTGTGATAACTTATCTTCTACACAACCATGATTTATTCACATAATGATAAACCACCTTCATTTTCTTCAATACTTTATAATAACAATGTTGTTAAAATATAATTTACCACTTATTCATTTAATTTACAGTACCTGTTGTAATCTAGCGAGGACACGCTCCACATGTTCTTTCTGACGTTTTTCCTCTTCTTGGAGTTTTTCTTTCAGAGCCAAAAGACGATCTGCTTCCTTCTTTCTTTTATTTGCAGAAGGCTGAAAAAAAGATTATGAAAATCCGATATAAAGTCACCCTCTGATGTACTACCAATATTAAGGAAAAAATTAAATAAAAATTTAGGGCCAAGGGAGCAATGTCATACAATGTGTACGTAACTCAGGACACAAACAAGAAATTTTTTCTCGCTAAATACAGGATGATGTCTGTAGTTACTAATTTTGCCACTGTTATTTGAGCAATGTATATGTAAACAACACAGCATTTACTGTGATATGATTGCTGCTCTATTCTATTTAACAGTGTATTCTTAATTCCAACTGTGTACTGTTGTTCTTTACTTGATGGTATGTACTGTATTCACATAGTGACAACTGTACAGTGACCCCTCGTTTAACGAACGCCTCGGTTAACGACATTTCGGTTAATGAACTGCCTTCCATAAGGATCTTCAATTCGGTTAACGAATTTCTTACGAACCGACCTCAACATGTTTTCGCTTGCACTGACCGGGCAACCAGCTTTAGTATCAGTCCGCCAATACATTAATCGGTTCTAGGGCTTAAATTCCTTACTATTTTAGTAAATATCAAGAAGTTTATACTATTCAATAATTTTAAAAGTTTAACATTCAATTTTTTAGTCATTTTAACAATTATTGAACATAATTGAAAGTAAAGTGACTAGTTTAATGCGCGGCATCCAGCCTCTTAACACAGCAAACAGACGTTAGTCTCTCTCTGTTTTCACTGGAGGTAACATCTTGCTTGAGACTCTCTTCAACTAAATGCTATTTTTCTGTGTTTCCAAGCAAATTATTGGTCATTTTGAAATATATTTTACATATTGACAATATATAATGCAGTGCAGTGTTGATTTAAAGAAAATAATCTTGAATTACACCAAGAGAACTAAAATTTTATGGGTGAAATGGTGCCATGGGGTGACTTCTCTTCCACCCCAATGTCTTCTCTTCTTCCTTCTCCTCCACCCCCATTCTAATTCCCATCATCATCATCATCCAGGAGCCTTCTACATACACACCTCAAAGTAAGTGAACTTTTCTACCATTTTTGTTGAATTTAGGAAATTTTCGGTGAGCTGGAACCAATTACCAAAAAACCCATTGAAACAATGGTTTCGGTTAACGAACGACCTTCTAGAACGGATTGAGTTCATTAAACGAGGGGTCACTGTATCTACTAATGTATTTTTATTTTAAGAAAAAGGTTTCTGGTCATCAGAGTACTGTACAGTACAGGTATACCCTGTACAATATTTCAGATTTGTGGAACTGTACTGTACAGTATTTCATAAACTACATAATAGTGGTAACACATGTGCATATTACACTGACTACAAACATCCCGATTTACGATCATCTGTTTTACGATATTCTGCGCTAATGATAATTAGATTTTATCATCCTTGATCAATTTGTTACAAAATCTGCATTAATAATAGTTATTGCAAAGTTAAACTTGCTGAAGTGGAATATAAACACTGGGAAGCGCATCTTTCCCCTTGTCAAATCAAAGATGGCCAACATGTGCAGAAACTACTTTTCCATCATCCGCACAGCTTCGTCTACCCACATGCTGCCTCACAGCCATCCTGCGCATTATTGTCCTGTGCTTTGTTCCTGCCCTGGATCGTGTAACCAAAATTATTGTTATTTATCATTGCTTAGCCTTGTGATCGCTGTAATACTTCGCCATTATTGGTAAAAAGAGAACATTAACATTCGGATTTTGCTGTTTTGGTGACTGAAGTGATTAATTACTGTCTTAGTGTCTGTGAAGTAATTAATAACTGTTTTAGTGTCTGTGAAGTGATTAATAACTGTTTTAGTGTCTGTGAAATGACTAATAACTTTTTCAGTGACTGAAGTGAATAAAAACTGTTTTGGTGACAGTGAAGTGATCATTGTAAAATATATTGCACAGTCTTATGATCACTGTGATACTTTGCTGTTTTGGATGAATGAAAAACATTAACATTTATTTAATGAGTGTAGGATCGTCTTTTTCTGTATTACAAATCTGTGTCGGACAGGCCAGTAACGTATCCAATTGAAACCCATGTTAAATGGGGCCCGATTAATGATATTTTGAAGTACATTAGGGTTTTCAGGAATCAACCCTATCGTAAATTGGGGGATACCTGTACAGCATTCAATCTATTTGATAACTTCACCTCCCCCCCCCCCATCTGAGAATGAAGAATTACTGTACTTCAAAATATACACAAAGCTAAGAGAGGGAGAAAGATGGCATGATTATTGTAGACTTACATTTGGATCAATCTTCTTTATCTCCTTCTCGTACATGTGTACAGGCACTTCCAGGTCGGACATTGTCAGTGTCCAGAAAGTGAGGAAGAAGGATGGGTCCATGTCCTCCCATACCTACAGGGTAATTGGGAAATTAAGGATATTGTATCATCTGCACTGGTGGAAGGGGAAAAGGAAATGGGGAAGGGCAAGTCCTTGATGATTGATGCAGTGTGCATAGATTAATGAAAAAAGTCATATCAGTCACAAGAAACACATTAATCCATTCTTTCCTATCATACTCGCCATTATGAGAGAATTTTTCTACAATTTCCTGTGACTTTTAGTTTTCAATGATTCAATTTTCTTATCCATTTATAACTGGTTTTCAAGTAAGTGCATCCATTTCAAAGAGGCTGCAAACAGCCTCATGTACATGTTATTAACACTTACCTTTATGCTAAAGTGCGGTCTTATGCTGGACACAATGGGCACAAACACCTCATTACAAGCTTCTATGTAGCGTAGTTTCTTCTGTTCTAGTGTCAGTTTCTTCTCACCCTTATCTTGTCGTCTCAACTCATCATACTTTGACTGTAGAGATAATGAACTTGGTTAACCTCTGAATTTAGCCATCCACAGATAAGTACAGTAGAACGTCGATATAACACGAGATACGTTCCAAGAGAAGTCGCTTTAAACCGAATTCGCATGAAATCAAAGTGTTGTTTCAATGCAATAATTTAGTTTGGTACGTGAGAGAAACACAAAATACTAAAAAGACTGAGTCTACCAAGATGCACCTCAGCCCATCTCCTAGAATAAACAACACATTGATGGGATGTGAAATGGTCTGTTTACTAATGATCAGCTGATGGGAAGAGGGGGGGGGGGGAGGTGCTATGCTTGCCAGTTGATGCCAAGGTCTAGTGCTTATTTATTTATCTGCCCTTAAGAGTGACTAAGTTTTTCTCTTATAAAATGTCACTGAACTGACATGTTCTAATTAATTTTAATATAAATGGCTAAAAAAATTATCTCTTGTGCAAAATATATGACATTTATATTCAAATTATTCACTGTCTTGCAAGGATTCTAGCAATGCAAATTATATTATCCTAACTTTCGTCTGTGATATTATATAAGATAAAAAGTTAAAGCCTAAAACCACCAAACCCTGGCTGGGAAGATGGGGGAGAGGGAGGGAGGAAGAGGGGAGGGGGGGGGGGTTGCCATGTTTGACAGTTCCGCCGAAGGTCTAGTGAAGTATTTATTGGTTTATTTGTCATTTAGATTGAGTTTTATTTTTTTTTTATAAAATGTCACAGAAGTGACCGGGGAGAATATAATTTACATTGCTGGAATTCTTATAAGATAGTGATTAATTTGAATATAATCATGCTATAGTTTGCACTAGACAAAAATTTTAGTAATCATTTAGTACATTATTTTGAGTACATGTACAGTACAGCTTTGTCCTAAGTACAGTGTAGCATGCCCAGAGAAAGATAAGGTGCAAATTTTAAAATATGATGCACCAGATTGACTCGCGCAAAATAGGAACGATTCGCTTTAAATTAAAATATTGTCCTTAATTGTGGGTGTCACTTTAAATCAATAATCTTATATTGAATCGCTTTAAATCGACGTTCTACTGTACACCAGTATAATCTCTGAACATACCTAATGACACTCTTATTCTACAAATTCATGATCAAACAATGTTATACAAGCTCGTCTTCTCATACAATAACCTTTTACTTGTTCGTCTTCTTCCCACAAATACCATATATATCGAGTACTGTATACAGTACAGTAGTTGAGTTTTATGATCAAATTTTTATGCAAAATGTAGGGGGTCAAACTACTCTACATACTCACAGTATTTTTGAGGGGTTAAAATTCACGCATTTCCATTAGTCATTTACAGTGAACAATAGCTACCTGGGAAAGGCTCACGGTAGGCTAACCTTACCAAGATGCGAGGTGTTATGGTTAATTTTCAACTAGTAATTTCAGGTAGATATATGTAACTTTTCCATTTTATTTTCCTCAGCTACACACACAATTCTATAAACTGCACATATTGTGCAACAATAACTGGCTGAACTCTAACAAGGTCTTTGATACAAGATATCATTAAACTACTGTCAGCAGCAGGTGCTTATATCCAAACTACCACACAAGTTCAGTCTTTACTTACACCTCAAAGACCTACGAAACAGTAATCAGATCATTTATATCTATGAAGTTAAAAAACAATCTAAAATTTCTACTGACTAGTAATTGTCTGTACATATTAGCCACTGAGATACAGTAACTGAATTATTATCAAAGTGAGGAATTTTTCATTAGCCAAGTTACAATAAAACCAATAATGACACAAGTGTGACGAATCATTTACTTTTTTTTTTAAGTACAACTGTCAAAGATTTAAAAAAAAAAGGTGACATTTTTGGTTTTACACACTTTCTAGTAAACACGTAGAGTACAATACTGTATTACTCAAAATACCCTGCCTGGAAGGTGGGAATCAGCTCACATCACTACCAGTTCAACATGTTATTCATGAAAATATTACAGTACTTACATTAAGCATGTGTATAAAAAGTGGACGAGCCAAGAAGAATGCAACATCTGCATTGATGTGACAATCTGACAATAGAGCACCAATACTTGGCAGGCGGTCATTGAGCTCTTCAATAGTTACAACTTGAAAGAGGTAAGAACCAAACTGCACCATTGTGTCTTGGCACTGGAATGCAGACAAAATCTGGTTAGTCAGAAATATGGTAACAGTATCGACTACCTGGTGTTTTCAAACTTAAAATGAGAATGAGATGGGCTTGAAGGCTAAAAAAAACAGGGACAAACAATATGAGTACAGAATGGGAAAAGCAGCTATTACAAATACAGTTGAACCTCTATACACTGGACTTCACCTTTTTAGACTCTGAGGTGCTCTCTGGACTGCCCCTCTATTCACCAAAAATACTGTGCAGTATTTAAAAAATTCCAGAAACTTCTGCATCATTCTGGACAGTTTGCGTGTTTGTATGTGAAGTTGAAAGTCTGTGCGTGGGTGTTGTGCAACATGTGTCTCAGTCTCAGACCTGCCTTCATGTGTATCAGTGCACCACACCTTGCCATCTATACTCAATTGAGTTAACTTTTTATGGAGAGTACATACTATAGTTTTTAATGGGGATACTTGAGGATTTCATGAAATGGATAAATTTATGTTGAGTGCAGTAAATATTTTAAGAAATCGGTAAAATTATGTAGAATGCTGACATATTTTACTTAAATTTAAAAAAATAGATAAAATAAAAAAAGTATATGAAAAGAACATTTGCTCACTGAATACTGTAGAGTGGTCTCATCAGATATGCACTAAGTGAAAACATGGAGTATAGTTGTTTGCTCCTAAAATTACTTTATTTTGGCAAAGACCAAAACCAGGAATCTCTCTTAATACTATAAGGCAGCTCTTAGTATGTACTAAGAGAGTTTGAGAGAGAATGTAATCAATAGCAGTAATGAAAATTAGTACAGAAAGGAAACAGAGAGAAGTACAGTACATGTTAGCGTCAGTGGATATAGAATGGGAGCTAACTACAATCAAGATCTGGTTATAAGCTACATCTATCTGGGCAGAGAATTAACCAGTCAATCAGGAGTGTCATTTATGGAATGGTCTCACAATAAAATATTCCTACTTACTTGATCATAAAGCTTCCCAACCAGCTTGAGATGGGGAGACTCTGTCTGATTGTACACAACAGATGAGCGCTGCTGAGCCATGAGTAACAGCAAAGGGATAGCTAGGTTATTCTCTAAGAGAGCTTCCTTGAGACGTATGGAAGACCTCTTTGTGTTTCTTTCTTGTTGGTACTGACCAGCCTCACGACGCAGCAGTTCACCTCCACACATAGCATCAAGCTAAACAAGAAAAATACTCACAATAAATTCTCTCAAAAGAAAATTCCAAATAAAAGAAGAACAAGTACAGATTTTATTGCATTTCAAGTTACTGTATACATGAAAATATAAAATAAAATAACAAATAATAAATAAATGTTAGAAACTTAAAAATCTGAGGGAAAAGACAGTGTGTATATATATATATATATATATATATATATATATATATATATATATATATATATATATATATATATATATATATATATATATATATATATATATATATATATATATATATATATATATACACACACACACACACAGTAGGCTCTCACCAATAACGTTAAATAGGTGCCTGAAAAACACCGTTATTAGCGAAAACGTTATTTGTGTGACATTAAAATACATGTAAAAAGGGTTTATTGGTGCCGCTGCCACAAGAATTTCACCCATTTTTTCCCCTTGAAGCCCTCCTAACACTTTTTGTTAGCTGAAATAAAAAGAATTGCTATTCAATCATCAAAATAAAGAGTTTGAGTAATATAACACTTAGTTTTTGAGGTGCTTGGTGTGATGATTGTTCCGTATCTGAGGGCCGCTAACACTTGCACTGTCTTTCATTCTACAAGCTAACCATTTCACAAGAAAATGCTCTGTTATCACTAACAACCTGTTTCTATCGCCTTTATCATTCATAGCTCGCCTCGCATTTCCATCACTACCGAAATATTTTTAGCCAGCACAATACTCTTCTTGGTCTCCTCTAAGTTCCTCTTAATATTTTGCACTGTAGACTCAGGACAGTTCAATTTCCTCACTTTAAAAGTTCCCAGTCATTCAGGTGGCAAATCACTCCCTCCACCACCTCCCCTAGCCCCCACAGGCAAAAATGCGGAAGCCATTATTGATCACCGACCCTGACAACCACTGGTTATAGTGGCGAAAATCTCACACGTGGGCGCAGCGCTGTATTCCACTGAGCCTTGTGTGAGAGTGAGGCGGAGTGGACAACTACGTCATCAACATGGCGGCAAACAAATGCAATCATTGATGCGCTCGGACGCTTCCCGCGAAATTTCCGTTATTCAAGAGAATCCAGACGTTATTATCGAAAATGGGTATCTATTGTAACTTATCATTATTCTCGAAAACGTTATTGTGGAAGTCGTTATTGGCGAGAGCCTACTGTATTTCATTTTTAGTCCATATAACAAGCGGACTTGAACATATAATCAACGACCTCACCAGCCAGGACTCGAAACCTAGACCTTATGCGTGTGACCAGGGAACGCTACCAACTACGCCAACCATGGCATGGTAGCGTTCCCTGGTCACACGCATAAGGTCTAGGGTTCGAGTCCTGGCTGGTGAGGTCGTTGATTATATACAGTGGTCCCTCGGTTAACGAATACAATTCGTTCCAGAAGGTTCGTTCGTTAACCGAAACCATTGTTTCAATGGGATTTTGGGTAATTGGTTCCAGCTCACCGAAAATTACATATAAAGTAAAATAAAAAAAAGTTACAGTAAAGTACACTTACTTTGAGGTGTGTATGTAGAAGGCTCCTGGTTGATGATGATGATGGGAATTAGAAGTGGGGGTGGAGGAGAAGGGGGAAGAGAAGGAAGTGGGGGTGAAAGAGAAATCACCCCATGCTTGATGCCATCATTTCACCCATAAAATTTTAAGTTCACTAGGTGTAATTCAAGATTATTTTCTTTTAATCAACACCACACTGCACTATATATTGTCAATATGTTAAATAAATTTCAGAATGACCAATAATTGTACTGTAAAAATGTAAAAATACTCTGTGTTCAAGAGACCCACAAGCAAGATGTTTCCTCCATTGAACAGACACAAACTGAGGCCTTGGTGGGTGAGTGAAGTGGCTGATTGGCGCACCAAAAACTAGTTCCCTGTACTGCAATTATGTTAAATAAGTGTTAAAATTACTAAAAAATTTAATATAAAACTTGGAAAATTATTGAATAGTACAACCTTCTTGATATTTACTCCAATTTTAACGAATGTAAGCCCTACAACCGATTTCTGTAACTAATCTTTCGGCTGGTGAGCAAGCCAAAGCATGTTGAAACATTTTCGTAAGAATTTCGTTAACCGAATTTTTTTTCGTTAACCGAAATGAAGATTCTTATGGAAGGTAATTCGTTAACCGAAATTTCGTTAACCGAGGCGTTCGTTAACCAAGGGACCCTTTTAAATCCACTCATCTTCTCAGGCACAATCTTATTATAGACTCATTTCGACCAGTTTATTAAATCCAGATCTAGACAAGTATTTACGTATTTACCAGTGGAGCTGATGTAACTGGGTGAAATTCAACACCTCTAATATTATTTTTATCTCTATTTTTCACTCGAAAACTTTATATTAGTTCCTACCTCCTTTGATGGTGATACAACTGTCACTGAACACATTAAATTCACTGAACATCAATTTAACCTGCAAGCCATCTTTGAAACTATATACAGTAGTTTCAACAGCTAAACCTGCTTCTAAAAAACTGGGAATCTTGTTCAGATGTCAAAGGTTTTTCTTTTCTGATCAACATCTTCAAATATACATAGGAATAGTTTGTCCCTGTATGGGAAGCCTTTGCTCCACACACCTACTTTGACCACCGAAGGGTCAAGACGTACCTGGCGCTCCTCTCGGAGCAGCCAGGTCAACTGTTAAGTTGGCCCATACCAACCCCTTCCCCTGAACCCTCCTCCCCACCGGAATATCAACAAGTTCTCGCCAGAAGTTACAATTTCATTTAGGAAAGGAATGGAACCAGTGTTAAACAGAGGTGAACAGTGGTGAACAGTGCTTAAGTCAGTGAGAACAACTCAACAGTAACAGTCGTACCCAAGTTAACCTTCACACAGTGAGGTCCCAGGTACCCAGTGATAACGGCCCGTGATAACCAGCGATGTGTTAATCCGTCTACGATAGGAAGGCCTGGGACCAAACCTCACTCATATAACACCATCTGTGAGGGAATTACTACACCACATGTCCCTCATAACACCATATGTGAGGGAATTGCTACACCACGTCAAGTCCCTCATCACACCATCTGTGAGGGAATTACTACACCACGTGAGGACCCTCATAACACCATCTGTGAAGGAATTACTACACCACGTGAGGCCCCCTCATAACACCATCTGTGAGGGAATTACTACACCACGTCAGGTCCCTCATAACACCATCTGTGAGGGAATTACCACACCACGTCAGGTCCCTAATAACACCATCTGTGAGGGAATTACTACACCACGTGAGGACCCTCATAACACCATCTGTGAGGTAATTACACCACGTGAGGTCCCCCATAACACCATCTGTGAGGGAATTACTACACCACGTGAGGTCCCTCCTAACACCATCTGGGAGGGAGTTACTACACTACGTATTTGCTGTTCAACACGTACAATCCTACATTAATCTGTATGTTCACTGTATGTTCCTTTACCTTTCTCTAATGAAGGCTTTTGTTAAACCACCAATGTATGTAATAAGTCATTTATGTCCAATGTATATTTTCAGCCTTCGGGCTGCAGAACTTTTTCAATAAACCGTTAATTATTATTATTATTATTATTAATTCAACTTATTAATTCTCCCCTTCTACCCCCCAAAGCTTGACCCATTTTCCCTTCATTCCAATGCTGGTCCCCTCTCCCTATTCTATAAGTATTTGTCAGATTTCTGGATGTTTCTGTCTATTTGTCTCTGCATGTAATACCAGACAACCTGCTTTGTCATACAATTACCGAACTCTGCCTTCTCACATAATTTCCAATCAACTATTCGATTCTATTTTTATTTTCCCTTGCAAAACCTGACCTCAGTGAGGTCATGAATCCTTTGCTGAAAACTTATTTGTAAACCTGAAATTTCCTTAAATTATAACATTTACTAGACATTGAGGTCAAGAATGACATGGGGAGAGGTTATAAGATCATCATATTTAGAGTTAAGAACCTGACAAAAGAGGCTGCAAGAGACCATGCAGCATTGACAGCTGCCATCAGGTAATCATGGCTAAACCACACAAGTGTGGAAAATGGTTGTAAAACAATGATGACTGATGTTCATACCTGTTCTGATGTTAAGTCCTCGAGGGTGTCCGTACCACCCATTTTCTGGACTATCTCCCGCATGATAAGCAGATCAATAGATTTTTCAGCTTTGAGTTGATTGGCTACAAATTGAAGAATGCCACCTAAGTCAATAATGTACTTCTTATACACAGCTCCACAGAAACTTGACAGAGATTGAAGCCAAGGAGAGATTGCCATTGCTGGAATATATACAGAACATTGATTATTTAATTCTTCTTAAAACCTGTGCAGAATAATGATATAAAAATAAGAGGAGAAGAAAAGGGTAAGGAAACAGGTGAACAACTCGGTGAAATGTGAAGATTGAATACACTGGAATTCTCTTTTTTCAGACTCTTTGTGTGTTCATAGGTGTAGTTAAACATCTATGCGTGGGTGTCGTGCGGCACGTGTTTCAGTTTGAGCCCTGCCTTTATACGCATTGTATCAGTGCACCACACATTGCTACCTACACTCATTTGTTAACTTTTTATGTAAAGTACATATTATTTTTAACAAAGATACTTGAGGGTTTTAAGAAATGAGTAAAATTATGTAGGATACTCGTTCTAAGAAATGGGTAAAATTACTGTATGTAGAATACCAATTTTAAGAATTACTGTGGGTAAATTTTTTTTTTTAAAAAGAACAACACTTGCTCACTGTATACAGTACCATACAGTGGTTTAATCAGGTATGATGTAGGCCTAAGAACTAAGAGTACACTACATAATTATGTAAATAGGTAAAGGGTGGCAGAGGGGGCTTTGACACATTCACCAGATTTATTTATTTATTCAATTTTATATTCTCATAAAACCAGCCTCTTATAGTGTGTCATTCATCATTTTAAAGGGATCTTGGGGGAGGGAGCCACCTACCCACGCTACCTCATGCCTGCTGTTCCCAGATCACTCTTATCTACCACACACAATATACCCCTACACACTTATATTTTTTTTTTATCTTCATAGTTCTGTACAATATACAGTTTTCTCTATATTCATAAGATAAATTTTGTGGTTATTTACAGGTAACACTTTATAGTATGAAGTAATCATATCAGTGAAAACAGTTGTTGATTTTCAACACAGAGAGTTCTATCTTTCATGTTTTTTATTGATGTTATTGTGGTTTACTAACCGTTCTATGCACTTAAAGACCTTAGATGTTGAAACACAGTAATAACATTATAACAACAACTTATTATCTTGAAACGGTCCACATAAGCAATGTTATATCCAGCCCTCCTCCCAGGTTTGACTTTTTCCAACTTACACAATTAGTCCACTGTTTTGAGGTATTACTGTATACCTAAAAAGTTTATTAATTCATTCTGTTTATTACTGGTACCATTTACTGGGTCAAGTTTAACCTTTGAAACTAATATAGTACAAGTGTCAAAAAAGACTGAGAAACACTTTTCATAGTTAAATTTGTACATTAAAACAAAATGTAACAACATCCAAGAGAATTAGTATGATTCTCATTCTAACTTCTCACAAAAACATCATTTGTATCATTGACATAAAATAACTCAAAAAGTCTGAAAAAGAATGAACATGTAATAACCTCCTTGTGAGTAAATGCTTTAAGATGCATTATGCGTCCTACTAAGGTGTTCATTATTTAGGACATAATACATTTATGTATACTGAACTTCATTATTTAAAGGTAACAAGCAACACAACCTTGTCATACCTATACTGTAAATAAAAAGCTAAGTGAAAGTGGGTCCCATACAGTAGAACTGACAGCCTGCTATAGAAAGTGCAGATTTTATTTACTGTACTTTTTTATTATTATTATTTTTTTTAAATGGGGATTAGCTCACCCGGGCACAGGTCACTGACCCACATCAGGGCCTTGGGGGCAAAAAAGTAATAATAATAATAATAATAATAATAATAATAATAATAATAATAATAATAATAAAATAATAATAATAATAATTCATATAAAAAAAATATAAAAATAAAAATAAAATAATCATAATTCATAGTAAATAAAATTTATAATACAAAATTAAAACTAAAATAATAATGATAACAATAATACTGCATCTGACCACGTTCACCTCTCCAACTGGAAAGCTAAGCACCCACTCACGGTTGGGTGGACTTGGGATACCTCAGCCACAAACCAACACCCCTTAGGACAAGAGACAAGCTCTGTATCCCTAGATTATGCATAATTAGAGTACAGGTACTGTAAAATACCCGTTAGGCAACGATATAAACAGAAAGACATAACTCACCATCATTGGCTATACGGTCTTTATTTTCAGAGAGGATTTCTACGATACAATAACCCAGCACATCATATGAGAGAGATGTCAGGTATTTGAAGCTGTCAACAACAGGGCCAATAAGGTTGTCATACAGCTGAACTTGTATCAATATCTAGAAAATAAAAGAAAGTATGAAGCATTACACATACTGGTACGACATCTGTGCTGTATAGTATGTAGATTGTAGATATGAAATGTAAATATCAGGGCATGTATGAATATAAACACATACAGGCATACACAAACATAAACATGGATGCACGAAATCAAATATATCAGATGACTCACACCTCTTTAATTTCAATAAGAACACAGTACTGTAAATGAAATTCCAATCAACAAACATAACAATACTGTTTTCAATATCAAATATGACTGAAGGCATTTAAAAATTTATTAACAAAAAACCTTCATAAAACAAAACCAAATGGTACTTACATAATGAAACATTGGTCCTGGGTTGTTGTGGGTGAGCTTGCCGATGCCACGACTCACAGGTTTGATGGTCTCCTTTGTGATCCGCATCATGATGAACTTAGCTTTCTTGAGCAGTCTGGCACGGTGCTTCACTAGCAAGGGATGCTGGGTACAGGTCTCATTTTTCCATCTGCCATAAAGTTTATATCTGAAATGTGAAAATGTATTAAATACTATATACCCAACATACAGTAACTTGCTATGATTTTAATTGTATTAATACACAGTACAATACATGAATCACCCAAAAAAATTGGTGAATTCTTTTATTCCCTTTTCTGATCTTCAGGAATCCAAGTCCCTTTTCCTCAGATGATTTTAACTTCATTATTTTTATTTAATAAAGTTCGAGATATTTTTTTTTCCAAATCTTAAATAGTAGCGACGGATTACTGTTCATTAAGACTATTTATTTATTTCATGTTAGCAAAAAAAATAAATAAATAAATAAAATAACTTTCTTTGTTGGTTGAGCCATCATTTAATTGTAATAATTCTTACTTACCTTCACTTGAAAAACTATGAGTAACAGTGGCAAGGATCATCACTAAAAGCACTACGTATTGTACACTAATTGAACAACTTTACAAAACTATCATAAATGCTAAGCTTCTCTGCCCCCAATAGTGTTGAATCTCAGGCACGTCCAATTATACTCATTGGTGTTCCTGTTGTGTAGATCAAGTTACAGAAAAGCACAACTAGTCAGACATTAACCCTTAAGCCCTGGGTTAGGGTGCTGCTGGAAGTCCCCCCCCCTCCCCCCGTGGGGATAAACCGAAAAAAAATAAAAAATAAATAAAAAAAATAAAAAAGAGGGGGGTAGGGGGGGGATAGGTGGACGTTCTGGAACGTCACCCGGGGAGCGATGGTCGGATGTTTTGGAACGTAACCCGGGGCCTAAGGGTCAAACAGTCCCTGTGAATATGAAGGTGAAACTTTTACAGATGCTTCAGTTCAACTGCTGGATTACCTGAAAGACAAATAAAAGTTCTCCAAAGATATTAATTATGATTAAGACAAATTTGATGTTCAGAGCTCACCTGTGCTGGTATGGATATATCTTTAAAGTTTCCCATATCTCTTCTGCGAGACAAGGGTTTGAGTCGAGCATTGATAAGGATGGAAGAAGAGCTTCATCCAAGACGTCCAGGAAATCATAATAAAAAGTGTTGCGAACTCCGTCTGTTGCTACCTTCACCTTTAAGTTAAAAAGAGACACGAGCTTACATAACTTAAGACAAACCCATACAAAATTTTAAAGCTACTGTCAACCAAAAATAAACTGCAACAAAATGTTCTGGTGTATGGAGACATGTGGAAGCCCCTCCGCAGTAAACATACGGAGGGAGTTCCAGATGTCTTCTCCACAGTCCAGAACATTTTGTCACAGTTCCCACTTGTCTGCCTGTACATTACCAAGTCCATTGTTTGAAAACCAGAGTTAATCCTTACAAAGCAGTGCTTGGGTCTAATTCACAGATTACTTATGCATTCCTGTCTTATCTACATTCCTGAATAAGAATCTTTAGAAACAACAGTCACACCTTAAAGTTGAAGGCAATACGTTATAATGTTACATCAGCAAGTGCACATTGCCTTTATTAACTGGGTCAGCCATAAGTGGAATTTCTAGACTTCAATCCCTTAGTTTCAAACACAAATATCTAAGAGGTAGCATAATTTTCAACCTATAGCTTTTGGGCTATAAATACAGGAGTTGCTCAGTCTGGGCTCAGTCATATAATGGGATCTAAGCATCAATCCTTTATTTTCCCACAATAAGTACAGTATAAAAGATAAAAGGAAGGGTTAATCTGCAAGTGAGGATGATGACAATACAAGTATTGCATTTCTCATAGCTAAATATTTTACATATTTAAGCTAGTTTCATATCAATGAAATTAACTATTCAAATATAAAATACAGGTACTCTGTACAATAATTTCCATACACCGCATAAAGTGATATCATGAAAACCCCTAATCAGGGGTAGAAATTCACCATTTTTTTTCCATAGTCGCCAGCAGGACTAGTATATTTGAAAATTTACTAGTCCTTATAAATTTTTACTAGCCCTTAAACAATTTGTCAAGAAACATTAAACATTGGCACTTACCGGGTTTATACAAAGTTCTATTTACTGTGTGACATTTATTTACGAGTAGAAACCATATTAACTCATAAACCAACACTGGAATAATCACATATTAACAAAATTAATTGCATGGAACACATATTTACTGTATGACATTTATTTAGTAGTAGAAATCATAAACCAACACTGGAATAACTAAATTAATTGCATGGAACACAGATTTACTGTGATATTTAATTAGTAGTGGAAATCATAAACCAACACTGGAATAATCACATATTAACTAAATTAATTGCATGGAGCACATTCCATTGTGATGAAGCTAATGGGAATGTACCAAAATATCAAAATTATTTCCTAATCGAAATGTAAACCATATTCATCCACTTATTTTGAATAAAAGACAATAAACTTCTGTGTTTAGGTTTGCGAACTGCACTTTAAATCCTCTGATTATTATCAACGGCCATCAAGTTATTTCGATGAACACACAGGACGAACTATAACGTACAAATTGGATCGACTTTGACTGAAACCTGGTGTAGATCCACCAGTGCTTCCAAATTAGATAATAATATAAAATTTATGCAAAAGAAATAATGATAACGTTAGAGTAAAAAAGTAAGAATGTGTGAACGGTTTTAACCATGATCAAATTCTAATACAATATCTTTATAATTCACTTTGTTCTATAATACAATAGTCAATTACTATTTGGTTTTGAGTGTACGTATGTGTGAAATGGTTGTCAAATTTTGTATGCATTATTATTTTTTTTATCTTGTTTGTATCGGTGATAATCTGAATATGTACAGGTACTTGAATTTTTTTTTTTTATAATAAATGGTGTGATTGTTGATGGAAAGGCAGTTTTCATCACTTGTTAATTGTTTTTATTCTTGCCTATTATACATTCAGGTATTAAATTTTGCTGTCATTGCTTTTATATATTATGTATAGAAATGAATTCCTCGATAATAATTGTATATCTACATAATTAGACTGCGTTTATTCATTACAATGCACGGTTTCCATACACCGACATGAATAGCGGCGGTATCTGTGTGTGACGTCATACAATCCCTGATCCGGCCTGGTGTTCTAGGTGGCATTGCACCAACTCATTTGTCCAGTTTTATCACACTGCATTATATCATTGAGTGTATATATTTTATTTTAATTTTCATATAAAGTGTTATATACAGAAAATGGGTACATCCCTTCCTCTTACAATACCGGTAATACAATTAAGATAACTAGCATTAATAGTGTATTCTCTATATGAAGCTCTTAAACACATTGAGTGTGTCTTACCACTGTCATCGGCCCACTCACCCATCGGGCGAACCCAGACCAGCAAAATCTTAAAATCTTGTCGCCCTTATGATATTTTTGTCGCCTCGGGCCACTGGGCGTATGTGAATTTCTACCCCTGCTCATGAATAGGAGAGATATTAATTTAAGACTTATATTGGAGAGAGAAAATGTGTGTGTGTGTGTGTGTGTGTGTGTAAAATTTATATAAATGACTGTCCTAATGTAAATATATAGAAATTACACCCATAAGTATTGGTCAACTACACTCTCCCCAAACCTGCCAACAATGGCCACTTTGACCAACAACACATCATTTACCATTACATCTTAAATATTTACAAGTTACGTTCAAATAGTTTTTGTATAAATTATGCTATATTGAATGTGAACACTTAAATTTATCTAAAGGCAAATAATCTTGTTTGAAAAACCTGTAGTCGAATATGGTTGTGATTCGTGAGTTGGTGACAGTCTACAATTTACAAGCATTCTAATGTAATATTCCAAGGCACATGATAGGAAAATCAGTTCTAAGTTGTTATCAATATGTCTAAATCTGGATTTCCAAATGCACTTAAGTGTGTTTGCCTTGGTCCACAGGTTTGTTGTACTATCGTGGACAAAAGTTCACTCCCTGTGGTGAAACTGAGTCACGGGAAAGTCTCCGAATTGACTTACCCTAACTGTCATCTGGTACGGGTGTGCTGTTTTATCTCAATTGGGGTAGATACTGCTTCAGTTTGGGAGGAAGCGAACTTTTGTCCACGATAGTACAACAGCTATATTTTAGTAATTTATAGATTACAGTATTAGTTTTGATTTTTCTTAACAGGAAATATTAGTGCCTTGTCTTTTTTCTCATTTTTAACTATTATCACTACTTGCCTTGAGAGCTAACCACATGAGGTAAAAGGTAATGTAAATAGATAAGAACAGCCATATCTATATTGCTGTAAAAGATACAATGTACTGCAATCACATTCTGAAAATTTATGAAAAGTATGGGAATTACTGTAAACATTGACAAATACTCCTGAGAAAATATTTCTGAAAAACAAATTTCTTTGTATTAATAGATTTCATGGTAATTAAAGTTACTGTACCACAATTGAAACATTTGATAGCAGATGATCAGAAAATTTCCTTACCTGCTTCAGTGCCACCCGAGCCACCCTGAGAACCTTGTATATTAGGCCCGGGTCATGGTACAAATGTGGTCCCAAAATACTCAACATGGGAAATATGGTTGTGCACACATCATTAAAGGTATGTGAAGGGCGGGGAGCAAGTGGATTGTTTAGCAGTTCCACAATTGTTCCTTTCAGTCGACTAGGTAGAGTGCACACCCTGAAAGAAAACATGATATTAAGTCATATTCAGCATTCTTGTAATATGTATACAGTACTGTAAATCAATATATATCCATCTGTATTAATCCCACCATGAGATGAGAGTTTTTAAGACGTAATTTATAAAAAAGTAATATAGAAATTGACAACAAAAGCTATGAAAATAAAAATGCAGTTTTTTGTTAATGCATGGTGTAAAAACAATTAAAATTGCAATTTAGTGGTTCCACGCTCCGAGGATCTCTGAAATGAGTCCGTCATGTGTGGACTCTTTTATGGTGTTAGTAGTGTTTTTCCTTGGGGGGGGGAGATTTGCAAGTAAAGTAACATGCTACTTACTTTCGATATATAGGTTCAATTGTAGCATGTATTAACTGGCAAAGTTCTTGACTAACAGGAGGACTTGACACGAGGTAATAATCTGGAAAACGCCTAGAAATTTCTACGAAGTGTTCCCATGCACCAACCTGTTGGTTCATAGATTAAGGTCAACCATATATCCGCTTTGTTCCAAATTCTTGCTAAATAATCATCACTACTTATGACCCTTTTGCATTAGTAACTTCATCTTTACAACTTCATGTATCACTGAGAAACTGTTGGTCTCTCACTGATGGCCATACTAACAATCAATTGATTTACTGTTAAAACCCTCAAATGATAGCTATAACTCATAAAGCACAAACATGATAATAATAAGTATTCAATGATATGATTATAGGATCAATATACAAGATATCAAAATGCTTTTGTGACCCCATTAATACTGGTCAATGGTGAGGAGTCAGTTTGATATTAATACAGGTTTAAAGCTACACTCCATACTGATGTTTTTCCCCCTATACTAGAATGATAATTTTTCCATTTTTCGATACAGAGGTACTATGGAGGTGTAAGACTCTATCAGTTGTCCATTACATCTTTTCAGACATAACATTTACAATGTATCTCAAATTCTTTAGTTTCACCTACTATGGACATATTTTACTACAATAAGAAACTTATCTTAAACTTAGTAGAATATAAATTGCTGTTTCAAAGTACAACCTGAACTTTGCCTCCAATTTAATACTGTAGAGTTTTACACTTACTTATTACCAACTAATTCATTGATACAATTTCTATAAATATTTTTTACCATAGCAATTAAACATTGTTGTCTCTCAAGCAATTCCTTATTCTTTTCTTACACTGACCTTTAAAAGGGCAATACACAACTGAATTTTTTGGTTTGATTTGTATTTTTCATGATTTCTCTGGTCATCTTTGTCTTTTTCTTCCTCTTCTTTCTCTTTCTCCTTTTCTTTTTCTTTATCCTTGTCTTTAGTAGACACAACATGGACCTTGCGAGCAATTTCTCTCGCCTCATTTTCCTCTTTATGGTAATCTTCAGTCATGGATGAATCCTCAGGAGTCAACTGGAAATAAATATTGGCGACTACATTTTAATGACACAACAGAAGGGATATTACAGTACACTATTAAATTTTCTGAGTCAATCACACAGTTATTTTTTTTTCTGATCACCAAAATTTAAAAAGCTTTAGTCCCATGCATCAAAGTTTATCTCCCCACCAGTTCCAATTAGCACAAGAGTTATGCTCTAGACAAAGAAAAGTTTACAGACCTGTGCAAAGTGAGTCACCCATGGTAAAGAGTTGTGAGTGCACCATAGCCTTGAGCGACACCAAGGTAAACAAGATAAACTACAAGCAATTATAAATAATAGACCTGTGACAAATAAATGCATAAAAAAAAAATACTAATCCCAAGGATGAATTATGAACCTAAAAGCTCTCCCACAAGTGCAAACTTCAAACTACAGTAAGTCACCAGTCGTCCATATATACTCACCCAAGCATAAATATCTGATAATTGTAAAATATTAGCCTGAATAAGTAAGGCCATTGTAGTGTAGATTCCCTTGGCATCTTTTCCACTGCTAGAACAGTTATTGAGTTTGAAGCCCAGGAGCTCACTGATGGTGGCTGACTCACAAGGATATTGATTCAAAAGCCCTGTGTAGAACTGGTGCTGTTCTGGACGGGATTCTAATGATTCCAAAATGAGATCCAGGACTCGATTTGGGTCCAAGTTGAAGCCACCTGCAAGGAATGAATATTAAGAAATAAACATCAACAGCAGTACAACTAGGAAAACATCCAGTACATCCCTGCCCCCTTACAAGCATTCATCAAAAAAGGCAAAAAATCTTGCACCAACAGAAATTCATTGAAGATAAATATGGCATATAACTAACCAATAAGACTACGTATAACTTGTATGATGGAGCTGGGCGTGACTCTGTCGGTTATATCCTGATTGAGCTCTGTTATCAGCTTTGCATAGCCTTCTGTCTCTTCTCTTAAAAGGTTGAACTTTTGTTGTTTGTAACTGAAACAAAATATACATTACCAAGAGAAAGAAAACAGGTTTAAAATATACAGTCAGTCCTCGACTTACGACGGGGTTAGGGACCGACGACCAGGTCGTAAGTTGAAAATGCGAAAATAATATAGAAAATCTAAAATGGGTGTCTCTTTTTCTTCTCAGCACCACGAGAACTCTCACGTTTACGCTTGCCAGCCATTTTAAAGGGAATTACAAACGAAAATTTTGTCAGTACACAGCGCAATCACTAACGCCGGGACTCAAAAATACGTAATTTGAAAAATATTTTATTCGGCTGCGGCGGTCGTATGTCCAGGTGGTCGTAAGTCAAGTAGTTCGTAAGTCGAGGAGTACCTGTATCAGAATACAGAACTGTATATTTAAAAGAGCAATAAAGTTATCTTAAAATCCAATTTCCTAGCAAAGGAAATGGCAGTTATTGGTTATACCAGAACTGTTTACATATATATACAGTACATGATTAATATCCATGAGTGAAGTACATCCAGTGTTCATTATTTCAGAGTTAATTTGTTAAAATGAATGGGCAATAAATGAAGCACCCAGAATACTTGTTTTCACTCCTGTGAACCCTTTTTCATTATACCACAGGGTGGCTGAAATCAAGTGCAACACTGGATCTCCCTTAGCAAAAACTTTCATCAATACTCACAATAGTTTGGTCTTCACTTTAATCTGTTTAGTGTGAAAGTTCTTTTTATTTTTTACTATGCCTCCTTCTCCTAGAGTTTCAATTTCTAATCTTTCCTTCACGAGTTTGTCTGCATCCAAGGACTTGAGGAGTGCCATGAGTTGGTCACGATTTCTGCTAAGTCGATCAATAGTGGAGGTCTCCAGGTCAAGAAGTGTTGACACCTCCACCAGCTGTGAAGCCATATCTGGATGCCAGTTCTAAAATCCACAATGCCATACTGTCACATCATCATCATTAAAACTGATCGCCAGCAGGAAATCACCAACTATTCAACCTGTCATCATTCGCTACTCTTCAGCTGTCAAATGCTAATGTAATGTACAGTACTGCATATTGAATGTATAGTACAGGTATATAAAAAAGTGAACATTTTACTTAATAAACAAAAAATTTGTAACATTGACAAACAAAAGTGTAAATTTTGAGCACTCACAATCATATCTGTGAGGAGGGGTCGTGCATAGTCTCTGCGTAAATGCCCCCTCACAATTGCCGAAAGAAGTTCATACAAAGCACGTGACAGATCTGAAATATACATTATATACAGCATAAAGAAAAGAAGTGTTGAGCTATCAGATTACTTAATACAATTAACATGCTCCACATAACCCTCAAAGCTCAAACAATGATTTTTACTTTATAATGTTATCAAAGCACTGTAAAGTAAACACAGTTTTATCATCAGCAGTACATTTAATGCAGTTTGTGATGTTGCCAAATTAGATAAAGAAAATTAATTAGCTCAAATAAAAATTCTTGGTAGTACATTAGATTTGCCTGTATAGTATGTACAGTATTGTACTGTACTAATGAGTTCTATTTTTAGGAATCCCTTATCATGTACAGTATTTTATATTAAAATTTCAATATAAATGTTGAAATATGAAATTGCTGTGAAATAATATTAAGGCTACAGAAATATTGTATTTCTTTAGTTAAAAAAATAAAAAAGAAATTTGGTTAAAAAATCCATCAGAAGCTTTGCATCAAAAATATTGTAATCAAATTTACCATATACTGTACACCTGTACCTCATAACACACACCAATCATAACTGACCTTTTCCTTGATTAGGTTTAGACAATCCCGGATTATCTGGGTCATCTTTGAGTTGCTGTTTGATCATCTGTACACTGAAAGAGAAAATTCTGCTTGTCAGACTACTGTTTATGGAATTAATACGAGAATTCTGTACATTCTGGCAATGTGGATTTAGTAGGAGCGCTGGACAGAGAGCCAGCCCACATCATGGTAGGGAAAGTGGCACAATACATTTCAGTGAAAATGGGGGAGGGGATAAGAGAAATACAGTACAGAGAACAAAACAAATACTGTACAGTATGTAGGTAAGGTACCAGCAGTGAACAGTGGCCTAAAGCCTCTTCACCTCTGGTCAACCCCTCAGAGTGGAGCCCTTGGAGAGTGATGCATCACAGAGAAGAGTGAATTTTAAACAATACTGTAAATATATTACAGTATTCAGGCACTGCTACCGAAACCAATCAATTCAGACTCCACTAATACAGTAGCATATAGCCATAGAGAAATATTACAAGAACATAATCCATCTATCAGTACCATAAATGAATAACTAGTTATATAGACAAGCTTTGAGTTAACACACACATACAGCCATTCAAAAATACTGTATGGGTGATGACAATAATGTGTACCACTTTGTTCTATGCCCTACACTAATGCAGCACATTTGACTGAAAAAACTTTGCACTCCACTTCCATTACACACCACAATATTAGAGTATAAGTGAAGTTCCCATGGGTTATACTTCACAGTAAAATGGAGACTAATCACATAAAATGAGGTGCTGAAGGAAACACAAATAGCTGATGTAGTGACTACCAATGTCAGCCCCAGAGACAAGTAGCTGCACTGCCAGCTAAGAAGAAGCTTGGAAGCCCTACATATGATGTGCAGTTCCCACACTTTAAAAGTGGGTTAGTAAAAGGAAGGGCATCTAGTTGTACACTCCTCGCCATTGTATTATGAGCGAGGTGGCCGACGGGAAGTGATCTTTGCTGAAATGTCTCACACCCCTCCGCACCAGCCAGCTGGGGCTAAGGCAGGCATTGTACATCTGGCAGCGAAGGGAGACTCGAGGACAAGTCAGCCAGCACTCAAAACGTTCACCAGTTGCCCGCGTAAATTTTGTGAATGAAGATTTATGAGTTTTACCCCCCCCCCCAACATTGCCCTTATTTATTGCCACAACGCCCGTTGTTTCTTTGCCTTTTTTACCACAATGGGCTAGAGGAAAGATTTAACAAAAGAACAGATAGCGTCAATTATTAGTCTGCATAAGGACAAGAAACCTGTAAAGGAAATATCAAGAATTGTTGGAGTGAGTGAACGATCAGTTCAGATTTGGATTAAACGATTTTGAGATGACGGCGATTTGGCAATACCAGTGTACAGCGGACGGCCAGGGAAGGCTAAAAAAACTTCCCAACGCAGGTTAACTGTTCTTAAGAAGCAACTTGCTGCTAATCCACGTCTGTCAGCACGGGAATTAAAAGAAAAACCCTGTACTTCTAGGTGATGTTTCTATAAGGAACGTTCACTGCAGCATCCACGGCGACCTGCCGTTTCGCAGCCACCGCGCATGCAAGAAGCCACTCCTCACCCTTGTGCAGACACAGCGTAGGGTCACTTTTGGCAAGGCTAACACTCAGTGGGATACGACCAAGTGGCAGCACGTGCTGCGGAGTGACGAGGCAATGTTTTGTTTTACTGAAAGTTGTACTTTTAATGTGTACAAGCACCCCGGGAGTGATTCGCTTGACCCCAAGTTCACTTTTAGCACAATTAAGCATCCTGAGTCACTAACAGTGTGGGGTTGCTTCTCATGCTTTAGAACTGGTGATCTTGTTGTGCTACCTAGGAATGTGATGATGAATCAATTTAACTACAGTACTTGGAGCTGCTTTGTGATTATTTGCCCGGGTCTTTTGAAAAATGCCGCGCTCATGTGTTTATGCAGGATGGTACCCCATGTCACACAGCAAAATGTGTAATACAATGGCTTGTTGACTGTCAGGTAGATTTCATAAGTGATTGGCAGGGCAATTTGCCTGACTTGAACCCAATAGAAAATAAGTGGAGCATTACCAGGTACCAAGCTTCGTCTACAAGGCAAGGACACAAATACCGTCCCCTAGCTGGATGCAGCCATTCTGAGGAGTGGAATAATTAAGACCCACAAATAATCCACAACTTGACAGAGTCAGTTCCTTCATGCCTGCAGGGGTGTATCAAGAGAAAAGGTAAGCCTATAGACTACCGGAAGTTTGTTAACTTCTCAAATTAATTTTTTATTAATATTTCATCTTGTTGTTTATGTTCGTCACAACGACGCGCATAGTGCAACAGTGAAGAGTGTAAATCATACATCAAATTTGCTTGATGGCAATAGACACACCATAATATTAGTTACCATGGATAACCCACACAAGCACGGAAAATAACCACAATATGGTGGTGATGATGAGTTAGGTCGAGTCTCTCCCTATATTTGCCACAATATGAAAGTGAAGCTGAAACAAAGTTTTTACCAATGGTTTTTGATGTGTTATGAATGAATGTGACCTTCATTTCTGGCACAAATCAATAGCTTCTGAGAATGTAGATTTGCTATAAAAATCAATGTAAAAAGTGTATAAAAACACATCGAAAACCATTGGAAAACCGTTTTGAGTATAACCTAATCTGGGGGCTCTACAGTCATTTGATGTTCTGGGTGTGTACTGCCACGTATGAACATACATAATAAAATGTTAAATATCTCACTTATACGTAATTGGTGCCAGAAATGCCATTGAAGAAACGTGTAATACCAAAGTTTTCATTTTTTTATTACTTATTATCATCAAAACAATATGTATGGAAAAATTAACCAATTCTATAAATTCCTTCTGATAACAATTTCATCCACCATTACCATTTTTTCCCTGTAACTGTTTTTTTCTGTTCACCATGTAGAATAGACAATATTGTTTTCAGTTTTCTCATTTACAGTAGGCAGTGGATGCTTTGCCATAACCAGCTAAGTTCTTACTTATGCTATTTTACCGTGAGTGCACTGACTAGCTAATCATCCATTACCGGTGAAAAACGTGAGAACTATATTTGACTGTAACTCTGGAAGCATTTGGTATTTATTTTGCAGTCAGTCGACCGTTGTGTAGCCATAAACATGCCGAATCTATTTCTGTTGTGCATCGAAACTTAATAAAAAAGAGGCGACATTTACTAGAACCTAATAGAACCTGACCTAACCAACCAAAAAATCTACCTAACGTTACTTAACTTTGTAGCCGGGGTGGACCCCCTGTCATATTAAACAAAGTGCTTAGCCTATCAGAGCGCACTTACGGTAAAATGCCATCAGTAGGAACATAGCCGGTCACGGAAAAATACTGTATCCACTACATTTACAGTAAGGATATTCTGATGACACTTTATGGAATTTAGGTTAAGTTGGTTTGGTCAGGTACTGTGCATTGCTGTTTCCATGTTTGTGTTAATATCATGCAAATAGTATCTCCAGAAATTTTGGTGCAATCCCAAAAGTCCTTCTGGTGTTAACCGTTTGCTCCACAATTACCGAAAACAGTAAATTTTTACTTTAGGACATGTGTCCCAATATGTTTTTCCAGTGTATTTTGGTGTGTTTTAAACAAACCCGACCTTCATTTTTGGCGGAAATTGCTCGTTTTGGGGGGTGAGAACCTGGGAAATCAGGGTTTTTGGGTGGGGGAGAAAACGAAATCGAGTCATCTAACCTAACCCCTAGCCATGGGACCCGCCCCCGGACCCCCGATACACCTAGCTTAAACTAACCTAAATTTTTCAGTAGTTAAAAATTTAGGGCGCGCCATGTCCGAAAGTACAATATTAGTTAGAAGTGGAAGGACCAGGGATACGTAAGAATTGGATAGATTGATCGTCTTTCTCGTAAAACTGTGCAATAAACTTAAAATAATCGTAGGAGCACAAATGACGATCAACCTCCACCACGGCCATTGTGAGACTGGTCAATGAAATTAAAATCATACCCAGGCTGCTTCCTTTGAAAAAAATCAAATGTGATTGGCCGAAAAAAAATTGTGTGATATCGATACATCATTGGTCACGGCTGAATGTCAGTCAATAATGCACATGCGTGGTGCACCGATAACATCCCCTGACAGACGAAGACTGATAACTAAGTAAAATCAATTAAATTCAACTGTGTCGCTATTATCCATGTCCACCAGGTATATATATGGGGTTCAGAATAGCAAGATCTTAATGTTTCAGTATTTATAACTTTCGAGCGCGCTATGTCCTAAAGTTAAATAATACCGAAAACTATCCTGTACTGCTTCATTTTTCTTATTTCTAGTTGCTTTCCAAGTATATTTTAGCACTTGACCATTTCAGTAGAGGATGTACAGCCAAAACCACTTTACACTAAACCTGAAGACAATGTTAATCATCTCGAATAAAAAACTTTCATATATCTGCAAGCGGTTGAGAGCTCGGATTTTCGACAAAGCTTCATTAAATTATATACAAATTTTAAAAGCTTGTGAATTAGTAGTGGAAAGAATGTTAGTTCTTGACACAATACTGGAGGAGAAATCGTGATGTACACACATGTTAATCAAGAAGTAAATACACGGTAATTCATATAAAAATGAACTGTGGGCTTCTTTAATATCTTGTTGATATATTTAGAACTTAACTTACACTTCTGCTTTCCCTGATTTGTCCCAATTCTTCCATGTCTCTAGTGTAAACAAGCGGTAACTACCCGCCATGTTTGCCACTGTTGCCAACTGAGACAACCCGAAAGCCGCTATAGTATGTGACAAAATGTGCTAAAATCCATTTAAAAATGTCAAATTAAAAAAAAAAGCTCAACGATGACGTCCATAAATTCAACCATATAGATTAAGTAACTGAACATATAATAGTTTTGAATCTTGAGGTTCTCTGTCTAATTGGATAATCGAGATGACTTACAGTAGGTCAGGAATCACCTTCGTTTGTTGCACCTTTTCTAGGGATACTATATATTTTTGGACGTTAAGTTTCCATGCCTATACATAATAATCTAGATCGGGTCGTACAAGAGATTTATAAAGTTGAAGGTGGCCATTGCTCACTGACTACAATGGTGAACAGAGGTATCGAAACTAATCAAAGTTCAAGCTGTTGCTGCCGTCACTGATGTACACATATGTACACCTGTTTCATTGGATTTTTTAATTAAGGTAAAAATTATCAGTAATCTGTTTAACACAAATGTGTTATATATTGTCACAACAACAGGGACATTAAAGTTCGCTTGATAAAGGGATTTTCAAGCTAAGTTGGTAACGTTGATGTTTGCTGTTTGGCCCCAGTTTTCTAAAACTTAAACCTAACTTCCGATTACTAGACTTCATAATATCTATCTATATATATTGCTTCACAAAGCAGTATGTCATTAATATAATAAACTTTTGAATACTGCACAGTATCAAAAAATTCTTTTCAGCAATGCTCTAGGGAGATTATAATCATGGACAAATTCCTCAATCAACTTCTAAGAAGAATATCAACAAATGAGCGTGGAAAATACACAAAACAAAAATAAAAAACATTATTAAACTTAAAAACATGAACATCATTCATAAAATGTTTGTAGTGATTTAAGGAAATCAGCTACAAAGCCTACAAGGACTATGCTGTGGGCGGTGGACGGTGGAGCCACCTGGAGGCGGCGGGAGAAACCTCGATTCAAAAACAAACCATGGCGCCCAGGAGGAAGAGTTCCTTAGGTAGTCCTCGGACTCCTAACAATTTCGAGTACTTAAAAAGCCTTGGAGACTTTAAAAAGACGATTCGAAGACGAGATACGCTCAAGTCCTTCAAATCTGGCAAGGTAAGCTAGTGGTACATGACTTGGTTTTAATTAAAAGACGAAATACCTTAACAGGATCTTAAGATTCTCTCGTGTTAACAATATTAAAGTGAAAAAATAACTATTTCCTATACAGTACAGTATTTATAAATGTGAAGGCTAAGGAGAGACTCGTCTGTTATTTCATGAAACGTAGTGACGGGATTGTTAATGATTTATTTTTGGTGTTAATTACAAAATTAAAATAGGTGAGTTAAAACTAATGAGTGAACTCTAGAAAATCATGTTTGAAGTGTACCTCACCAATGAATGATTAATTTATGTTTATAAGGGAAAGCCCTATTATTTATGATTAACCAGAAATAATTTGGGTTATTTTTCGTTATCCACCCATTACCTTCTTTCACATGAAAAATATGCTGTTTTAGAGGATTCTAACATTTATCTTTGGGGCAAATATCTTTTATTTTTTTTAGTTAGGTTGGTTCTTTGGTTCCTTCCTTTGGTTTGAAGATAGGTTTGGTTGGTTGGTTCCTATGGTATGAGAATAGGTTATTTTTGGTGTGTTTTACTCAAATCTGACCTCCATTTTTTGCAAATTAGCAGTTTCTGTTAAAATTAAAATTTTAATTTTTGGCAAAAAAAATTGCAAAAAAAATGAAGGTCAGATTTGAGTAATACACCAAAAATAACCTATTCTCATACCATAGGAAACAACCAACCTAACCTAATCTAACCTATTCCCATACGAAAGGAACCAAACAACCTAACCTAACCTTTCTAAAAAAAAGTTATTTGCCCCAAAGATAAATGTCAGGATCATCTAATACAGCAAAAAAAATATATTTTTCATGTGAAAAAAAGTGATGGGTGGATAACGAAAAATAGCCATAATTTGAGGCAGAATGTGTGCCAGTCCCAATAGATTCATTGTTAGTATAGAAGGCAATCGGAGAAAACCTGATAATATTGCGGTAAACAGCAACCCATAGACTTCCGGAAATTCACTGCATCGATAGAACTATTTTTTCTATTAACATTTTCTTATATTACACTTGTTAGGGCCACCCATTAATGTGGTCACTTAATACTAGGGGGGGGGGGGGCACTTAGTTTGCTGCCACCAGACCACATGAACAGTACGTGTAATATTCTTTTGGTAGGTAGCTGGCAGAGCAAGCCAGGCACTGTCAGTTCGTGTTTTTCGTTAATAAAACCGAGAGTGGAAGGAGGGTGAAACACCAACCAAATCTTTAACTAATTTATTTCCTAATCAAATAATATTGCGTTCAGTCACATTACAAAATAGTTGACTTTCCCCAAGCAGTTATTAAGGTCACTGCACCACACACAAAATATTCGACCTTCTCTAAATAATTAATTAAGGTCTTCTCTCTCAATACCAAATCATTGACCTCCTTACCTAGATCATTCCTTCCCCAATATCACCCAAAAATACTAAATAGCACCCTAATACACTCAAACACATGCAGGTACTGAAGCTCCTTTTTAGCACCAAGGTACAGTCACTCGCCATAATTTCGATGCACCCTCTACCCCTACTCCTGACTCGATGGAAGTCGTAGCCTTGGCTTTATACCGAACGTCCCCCTCCCCATTTTTCAGTGGTGCAATGTGGTAGCTCGAAGCTTCTCTGTATTGCATGAATAGCAGTTCATGATGAAATATTTGAGAGAATATATGCACGATACAATTTTTTAGTGACTTCACGACACTTTATTTACCATCACTATACTTAACATCGCTATTCAAGAGGGACCGTTCGGTTTGCAGTCCTGACTACGACTTCCCTTGAGCCAGGAGTAGCAGTAGAGGGTGCATTGAAACTGTGGCGCGTGAGTACATATGACAGGTACCCGTTTCACACACTATTCCTGTGTGGTAAAGGAGATCCTTCCCAGGCATTCATACCAGGACTGTTTCTGCGTCCGGTAGCATTAGGTCGCTTAAAGTGGCGACCACGTAGCACCTCAAATAGCACCATAATTTTCTTCTATCCTGGGTGTTGCTGTGTGGGATGTCCAGAGGTTCAAAGGGGAGGTTGCATAATGGCCATCAGCATTACCCACAACACCTTGTGGGTTACTCAAAGTAGAAAAGTGGTTGCTGGGCCAAGCATTTCCTCTGACCTCACTGGTCTCCCTCCGCTTGCAGGGGTGTACACCTGCGTGTATAAGAAGCGGGGCCCGACTGAGTGTAAATAAACTGTTTACTGGCCTGACAGGCTTTTCTATTACCAACAACGGTACAAAATCTATTAATTAACCCATTATATTAACAATAGCATTAGGCAAGGCTTTAAGATAAATATAAAATGTTAAATACGCCTCTTTAAGTACTCGGGTGTAGCACCAGCTGTAGTGTACTGACCTGTGTGTATAAGAAGCTGGTCCAGACTGAGGACGAGCCTTCGTGCCTCACACTGAATAGGCTTACTGGTGTCAATGCTTAAATTTCACCATGTCTTTATTCTGACCCCCACACATACACTTTCTTATATATTGTGACTTTATGCCTTATAGTTACATAGTTTAATTATAAATTACATACTACAGTAAATGTCTGGTTTGTCAGTTCTGGGTAAATTACTTTGGCTATCTCATTACCTCGAAACTGTGGCCGTAGGCGATTCAGGCGCCAACAGACAAAGGCCTGATTCTTGGCGTGGGTATACCCACTTCACTTTATTCTGTATGTATGGTTGATTTCCCCACACTTGGCAATTGTTTAACACGTTCATAAGATTCTCGAAGCATTGCACTGTTCGTGGTTACTCGTCACATGGGATAACGATGTGTATTAAGCTCACACCAAGGTACTGTACATAAGATGTTTTCTTTGGAGTTTAGTTTATGGGTCAATCCCAGCACTTCACATATGTCATATACATTTATCCTTTTCCAAGATCATAGTTCTCATATATTTTCATCTGATACCCGAGGTAGCTATGTTCACTAATCGTACACTGACGTAAATACTATAACCTTCAGACACAGTCACCCTTATTCACTATATTGTACTAGTCCATATCAATTGGGCCTTCCCAATTATCTTATAGCTACCTTGAGTTCTCCCTTAATACTATCAGTACACACACTTAATATCATATGCACAGACATTGGTATAAATTCATATAAAGCAATACACAGCATGCGAATTACCCCTTCCAAATGTTTACCTTTTCTGTGACACTCCACTAGCGCAGTGAGTTTGAATGTTATGCAGCTGTAATATGAATCAAAAGAGATTATAGAGACTAGTACTAATGTACGCATTCGATAGAACTAGCATTTCTACAATTTTTTCGTAAATAACAATTTCTGGTGTTTTCTTGTGATTCGGACAATTTTGGAATTCGCTTCTACCACAAATCACTCATTTTGGCTCTCACCCCACCCAGAACCCCGAATTCCCATGCTTTCCCCCATTATTGTTAGAGGGAGGAAGTAGGGGGGGGGGTAAATCTCAAACGAGTGATTTCCTATAAAAACGAATGTCAGATTTGAACCAATCTCATCAAAAACCATCTGAAATTTTTTTTTTTATCAGATTCTTTGGTTGCTATAATCTGCAATTTTACCGAAAACTTGCAGTGTGTGGTTTGGACACTGGACGGCATCTTTCGCATATCTGACCCAATTGGGAATCGCTACCTAAAATTCACCATTAGGTATTTAACCCCTTTGCAGAATTAATGGGACCATATATAAAGCAAAAATGAAATTGCCTTTTCATTTCTCTGGTTTTGCTATTTACATTGGATGGCTTCAAATATGGGTTGGACAGATATGTGAGCGATAGGGGTTGGATGTAAATGGGGTATTATTTTAATTTCGGTCATCCGGGGAATCTTAGGAATTTAACCTCCACTAGAGAGGAAGAGTCACATGGTCTGTCTG